CCCTCTCTCTCCCCCCTACCCCCTCAATACCCAGCAGAAACTATTTTGCCCTTATTTCTAATTTTGTTGCAGAGAGAGTATAAGCAATAATAGGAAGGAACAAGGGTTTTTGCTGGTTGAGATAAGGATAGCTATACAGGGAGTTGACTCACATTGATTTCCTGTGCGTGTGTGTTACCTTCTAGGTTAATTCTTTTTGATCTAACCTTTTTTCTAGTTCCTGGTCCCCTTTTCCTATTGGCCTCAGTTGCTTTTCAAAAGCTTTCTTATTATGAAAAAGAAATGCAGTGTTACATACTTTAAAGATAGCATTAGAGTTTTTAATGTAGCTGTAAGTATGGCATCTTCCACTGTTCAGTATTTTCTGAGGTCCTCCTATGCACAACACACTGCACACTCCATTCAGTGAGCAGTGTGAGTAAGCACTACCCTCAAGATTATAACTAATCATTTTATTGATAAAAAAAACCTTTTACACTTCTGTTAAGTAAATTTATGGTAACTTACTTGTCATGTGTTGAGAATTAATAGCATTTTTTGGAAGAAGGTAAGTTGTTCCTCCTATCATTTTTTTTAACACCAAGGAAGCAATAGGATAACCTGTTATTGATAATGACATTTGACAAAATCGTGTCCTGCAAATAAAGACATAGAGTGGGAGAATGTAAAGTGAGGAGCTGTACCTTGTGGATGAGACAGAGGTAATGATGAAGTGGGACAGCCCGTCATTGTACTGCTTATCTGCTGACTGAACCTTGATGCCCTTTACGTCCATGGCAACTGTACCATTGTCCAGCGAAATGGAAAACACATCAGACTGAAATGCAAACACAGGTGTTTAAGTAGAGAGTCCAGGGATCCAAATATGGACATGTTTTCAACGTGTACTTAAATGGTATTGCTTAAAGGAACACAAGATATGCAGGAAACTTGCTTCAAAATAATATCTATGAATATCTATGGCTTATGTTCATGTTGCTTATAAGAATAGACATGTTCCAATGGGACACTAGTCTCATTTAATCATGTCTCATACTCCATTTTAAAAAGATAATATTTGAATCTCCTGGAGGATGTAGCTAGATGATTAGGAAGAGTTAATTTGCTAATTTGACTTTTAAAATAGTTCACATTTTCATCCATAGAAGCAGGAGAGAAATTTCAAAAAGCAGGTTATTTCTTTTTCTGAATTTGCTTACAACTTGTCTTAACTTACTGGTAAACAGTAATCTTGCTTCTTTTTGCTTTTATGGGTATCAACTTCTACAGTTAGCCGTCAATACACATAACCCATGGAATTCTGTCTAAAACAGACTATTTTTTTTGTGGACAAAAAAGTCTTATTTAAGTAACCAGGGTAATCAGAGGTAGGTTTGGGGCAGGAGTCCTACAAAATGCCTTCTACAAATTCTCACAGACACTACTGATTTAATTTAAATCAGATGTAAATGTGACAGATAGAGGTAATAAGTATGAAAACAAAACATTGCTTTCAGAAATTGTGTATATGTTGGTGATGAGGTTTTCATAGATAGATCAATTGGATTTTGACATCATGAAACCTCTACAGATCTTATTTTATTCTTGAAATAATTTTGTAAGCTGGGTTCAAGTGTTCTACAGGAAATCCAAGAACAAGGAGGCATGTGAGTTTTTTTCTCAATCTTTTACAAATTAAATCACAAATGAGTTTGTGCTCAGCATGCAGACAGATGTTCTTAACATTTTTTTTGTGCCATGGATACTTTTGGCAGTTCAGTGATATTATGGACCTCTTCATAAAATAATATTTAAAAATGTGCAAGACAAAATATGTAGGAACAAGAAGGAAACTAATTACTTTGAAATAAAAATTTCAAAATATTAAAACAATACATCTATGATCTATCTATCTTACACTTTTAGTTGACACAGCGTCTCAGTATGTAGCCCTAAGCTGGCCTCAAACTCTTGATTCTCTTGCCTCAGACTCTCAAGGACTGAGATTACAGCCTTGCACCACCATACCCAGCCTATACTTCTTTATTAAGGCATAAATAATGAAGGTCTAATAGCTTCTATAATTTGAAATTAGAAATGAGCAACTATATTTTCAGATATCTATGATAATTTATAATGTAAGATAAAACACTAGTGATTTCTTTTAATGACAAAGTCATAGGTACTACTAATACTACTGTGGTTTGTTGCCACATGCCAAATCAAAGAAAATGAGAAATTTCAGTTAGAGAACATAAAGATATAATTTTCCCTATGCAAGTCCACAGACCCCTTGAATTCTATCCATCAATGCCTGAGGAGTGGGTCTATGGATCCCAGGTTAAGAATTCCTGATATACAGTATGTCTAGAGTTTTATAGCATCTGAAATGAGGCATTCTGTGTATATGTGTAAGCTAAAATCTGAATCAAAACTCACTTATAACTGCACAAATAATTTTTAATAGGCAAAACAGTTATCACCACATTTCCTCAGGGAAAAACAAATACTTACCCCTGAAGCATAGTAGAATAGTAACCCATTTGGCTGTAATGTTCGGAAGTTAAAACCTCCTTCGAAGCCATCAAAGAATGATATTTTCTGAATGGAAGCAATGAAACTTTGCCCATTGAAATATGCTCTACGAGATATCTGTGTGACAATAAAAATGGATATATAGTGTTTTTCTTGGTAATTACCAAACGCTTATAATGTCAACTTTTTATATACAAAGGGTTTTTCCTGCTAGTTTCTAGAGAAGTAGTTTACACTTTGCTTTCTAGTTTATGATGGAATTCGGGCATGCCTTCCTTCTATATTCCTCTAACAGATGGGGCTTCAGCTTCTTCATTTTCTCCATCCTGTGTGAAAAATGACTGTCAAGCAGCCTCTTTGGGCTTTGCATGCCTCACCCACCAAAACTGAAGTAACTGTACAAGTTACAGAGGAACCCCACATGCCTTTCTAGCTTAATGATTCTTCTTTCTTTTAGAAAGGAGCCCAAGATGTATCTGTATCCCAGAGAAACAGAAAAGGGCTTTCCAACTGTTGAAAGTTTTGTATCTATTTATTAAAAAGCTTCTGACTGGTACTTACAAGAGAGTCTTCTGGGCATCCGTAACCAACTCCTAGGGTTTCTGTCTGCTCCAGTAAATTGAAATCTTTCTTTTGGAACTGGAAACCCTTCATGCATCCTCTGAAATTGATATCTAGGGGAAGATGTGCTCTTAGGGTCCTGGAAAAGATAGACAGTCCTCACTGATACAACCATGATGAAGATGTTACCCTGTCCATGTAAGCCACAGAGTCTGAATTTACTTATAGTTCTTTGTAATGGTTTTATCATCATTATATTCTTATACTTTCTTTGATAAATGAAAGTAAATTATTCTCTTCTATCACAAGTGGTAAGTTAGAATTGAGCTCAGGTTTTTAAGCTTCTATTAATCTAGTTGGCCTTATTTGCCATACAAGTAAAGCTGGAGGAATAGTCTTAGCGAATGTTGGGCTGCTGGATCAACACAAAATAAAAAATCCTTTATCCTTAAGATCAGGGGTTACACTCTGCTCAGTACTGTAATCCTAGTGTCTGGTACCTACGTGGTACCTAAGAGCATGCTATTGGATGTTGAATGAATATAAAGTTAGTTTTGGCCAAATCCAATGGCTTCAATGTATTTGGATAAACACTGGCCAAACTAACAGCCCTGTTATGTTCTGCTCTGACAAGGTCACACCTAGAGGGCTGTGCTAATTGACAGACTGGAGTGCACATAATGGCACATATAAGAGTTTAAGGTTCCATGTGACATGATTAAGACCGAAGAGAATGTTTACTTTGAAAAGACTGCTTAGAGATCCTTCTTTAGATATGAAGCACTGCAACATGGAAAAGGGATGGCACTGGTTTTAACTCAAGGCAAGTAAGAGCTTTATAACAACTGAAGTCATTAAGTATTGAATTTTTTGCCTTATGAGGTAATTATATATACATCATTAAATTTATTCAAAGATAAGTTTGAGAACAAATGGAAAGGAGTATTCTGTATCAGAGAAAGGGTTGGGTCCCTTAGCAGTTCTCAATCTAGGTTGCATGGTAAATCACCTGACTTGGGGAGCTTTTGTTTTTTCTTTTTCAAATATTGCATTGGGACCTTACTCTAGAACAACTAGAATTTCTGGGAAGTGGTCATACATTATAGTATATTATAAAGCTCTTTGGGTTATTCTAGTGATAACCACTGTACTGGATTATTAAAAGTTGACTTTCAATTTTAAGTATCTCTGACTCTCGAACTGACTGCAATAATTGAGCTAAATTTTTGAATAGACAGAATAATGTTTCATTGTCCTTAAGCCATAACCCCTTCGATAACCTTAAAAATTTGCATACCTTCATATGCTACTAGAGAGTTCAAAATAAGTTTAAATCAAGACTAAAATAAAAGTAAAGGGACATATGATGTTTTGTCTTCACACAATGCATGTTCTGCTCTTCCTCTTGTCGAAAAGAAACACCTTACACTTTGTTCTAAGAATAGGCAATAATTAAAGAAACCTCTAAATTACATGCGTGAAATTCTAATTTAAGGAGGCTCTGAGGATGGGCTGCCAAGGACCTGTGAGTGCACGAGTGTGCCCGTCCCTACGCATGTGGGTAAAAGTAGCAAGTGGGGGTGCTTCAATCTGCCAGTAGAACTCTCTTGTTAATGAATTCTCACCAGAACAGCATTAGGAACAAACAAGTCCCAACACAAAAACCTTACCTGGATTGTAAGATTTCTGGGGGAGCCCCTCCAATGTATATGTCTGTAAAAGGTATTTTCATCTTTTCATTGTCCATGCTCTTGACATGTCGTCTGTCAACTACCAAAATCATTTTCTTATCATTGTGATAAATGATTGAGATCTGGTAAAAATAATATATAGCAAGTTTTGATCAATTGTTTAACCCTCTGTTTGAAGACTTATTTTGGTTATTTTGGCTATAACAGTTGATCCTCTGTGTCTTGTGCTTGTTTGTTCATAAAACAGGGACTAGATTTTGTTTTCTTTCTTACAGACACGAAGACTCATGCTATTACAACAAGCAGTTCACATGTGCTGGGGAAGGAGAAGAAACTGGCCAAATTAAAAAATTTCCCATGAGACCTATTGTTTTCTCCTGCCCGTTTTGAGGGGATTTGGGAAGGAACTATAAGCAAGTGCCTTCTTTGAGGTTTTTAGACAGATTCATTAAGGTATAATTGATATATGAAGAACTGCACGTATTTAAAGTTCATAATTTGATGAATTGGATGTATGTAAACACCCCTCATATCATCACCACAGTCAAGGTAATAGACATATCCAACACTTCCCAAAGTTTCTTGTGCCCCTCGGTTTTTTTTTTTTTTTTTTGCATGTGTGTTAAGCACATGTTAAGTACTTAACATAAGATCTATTGTCTTAACAAAAGTTGACTTTTGTAGTGCTGGGGATGGAACCCAGTACATTCTAGGCAAATACTCTACCATTGAGCTATACCCCCAGCAACAAATTATTATTGACTATAGGCATTATGTTATTCAGCAGACCTCTAGAATTTATTCATGGAACACAACTAAATCTTTATACCTATTGAACAACATTATCTTACAGCCCTGGATACTACTGTCATATTCTTTAGAGTCCTCCTGGACTCTAGACTGCATGGACCTAGGTATAATTTTTTTTGGTGACATAATGACCAACTGTAATCAACCTGCAAAAATGCCAGCCAGAGAAATACATAAAAATCTTCTTTTATTGTTAACTGATTTTCATGAAGGCTATGGATTTTGAACTGAAAAGGGAAATATACTCTCCTACCCTCTACATCTTGACTCAAAAGATATTATGCCTTTTATATGCTTCATCGAATTGTATACATAAAGTAGGCATTAATAAAAAATATTTAAAAAGTATATTTTTAGTAGATAATAAATCCGGTTGAAGGTTAAAGAGCATTCTTTTTGGGTCTTTCTCTTTACAAGGAAAACTGCTAGTGCTTTCTAAATTCTGGTTTAAAAGGAAATTCTATGCTTACTTATATCTACTCTTCACATTCAGTGAGGCTCAAAGCATAAGTAAAAAATGGCTTTGTGTCTACATTCTAGCACATTCAATAAAAGTATAGGATTGTATACTGCTATTGTAATTGAGATATGTAAAATTAATGGAATCTTTTGACCAATGAAGTAATTAAAAGGAATTTTCCAGTGGTTCTTTTATGAAATTTCTATGTAACAAATATCCATTCTTTTAAGGTAAATGTTTTCCAGGGGCTGAGTAGATGAAGGCTTCCACCTTTTTCAGAGGTGAATGTATTTTATTACTATCCCATTTATCTCATTTGACCACCTGATTAGGTCATCAGTTCTAAGTACAAAAACCAAAAGCCAACACTCAAACCACCAAAACTATGCTGGCTGTACCTCATGGTATTTTGCATCGTTAATCTGGGCTTTCTTCAATGTGTCTTCAAGATGAACAGGACCATTGCTGAATCCAAAGTCATAGAACACACGCAGGTGACCATCACGCATTTCCAGGCTGAAAAACATGCTCTGCAGAGAGAAAGAAGGTGTGCTATTATCAAAGCAGATTCAAATTTAGCTGACTGAAAAATAATACCGGATTCTTTATTATGAAACTATTTGAAGACTAAGGAAGGCTCATGAAACTCTTATTACAAAATAAAATAACAACTATTTCCATATCAGCAGTTATTTCTTATTCTGATATACAAATGTGTTAATAATTACACATAATTTTAAATTACTATCTTCTTTTGTTTTTATTTTACTTTATGAATTAATGAATGAAGCTTTAAATTTACATTACCTATCTTTCAAATTGGTCAAATATTTATTCTAATATACCATGTTTACTCAACTGCCTTGTCTTTAAATAACTTTTGAAAATTTAACAGTACAAAAGATGTAATTGCATCTTTAAGATGAAAAGTGTAATACTGAAAATATTGATAACCTTGAAAATGATTTCCAGATAAGCTAAAAAGAGTTCAAAGTAGTAGCAAATATGGATATAAGAAGAGAAGTCTATTCCTGTATTATTTTGAATCATGGATATGTGAAAATAGGTATGGAATTATTATGCACTTGGACTGCAGGATGTTTAAGAATCAAAGTAATTCTGTAACACTTTAGTAATTTACTGATCAGGCTTGCTTATTTTAGAGGATGATTCATAGATATAAGAATTCAATGGGTTTGAAAAATAAAGTATTGTAGTAAAGTTTGCATTCTACATGAAGTGCTCTCTTGAGTGGAATTTGTGTATTTTTCGTAATATAGAAAACAATCCATTGGAGTTTAAGAAGAAAATGTTTCAACTTTGATTTATACTCATTAAAATGTAAAATACACAAAGACACTAATTTTTGAAATTTAACATGGATTATTGACCCTGGGCCTTCACAGTTCACATGGTATGTGAGGCTTCCTGAGTGGGGTTCCACACTTGAAAGGTTCAAGGTGGTACATCACCTGACTTCTAGCCTATTGTAATTTACTGCAGTTTTTCTTACTTACTTACATGGATTTACAGGTGATATGACATAAATAATAGAATAATTACCATCATTTTGTATTGAGATGTAGATGTATTGATATGAAAATATTTTGGGACACATAGATGTTTGCTGGTTACTTCCTGCAAGTTACTACTGACAAGTTTTGTTATAAAATGAATGATTCTAAATTTGTTAAATTTTATTTGTGATGACAAATGTCTTTCAGAGTATGAAACCTAGTTATTAAAAAAATTCACTTGGGGCCACATGCAGTGCTCACATCTATAGAATTTCAGCTAGTTGGGAGGTGAAGATCAGGAAGATGGTGTGATTACAGGCCAGCCCAGGCAAAAAAGTTAGTGAGACTCTATCTCAACAAAACAAGCTGGGTGTGGTGGTGACACACACCTGAGACCTTATCCAAAAAAAAAAAAAAAAAAAAACCCAAAAAACCAAAAAAACAAAAAAACAAAACCTAAAGCAAAAAAGAGCTGGGGGCATGGTCCAAGTGGTAGAGCACCTGACTAGAAAGTACAAGGTCCTGAGTTTGAATCCCATACAATATTGCCAAAAAAATTGTGTGAAGAAATTTTAATCTTTAAAAATCTTTCAACATTTTTGTTGAACTCTAGTTTAAAATTGATGTCTGATCAGCTTGCAAGAACTAACATCAGAAAAGAGAAAATTTATCAAATTTCAAAGATTACTTTTGCCAATTGGTGCATGAAATAAAAAAACTGTATGTAATTTAGTAGGCACAGATAATGATACATGTCTTAAATTTTTTATTTTGTGGAAAGTATTTTTTCCACTTTTTTGTGGAAAGTATTCATTAGGCCATGAAACTTAGTATTGAAATAAACTGGATGTAGGACAAGACTTTTGAATCACTGTACCACAAAAAGTTCAAAAAGATTTTAAAAAACATTTAACATTTAATTTAACATTGAATTATATCATTATTACTAACATTGACATTAAAATAGTTTTAGTGAGAGCAAAAGTTTCTGTATCACTAATAAATAAGGACATAATTTTAATATTTTTGTTATTCAATATTTTACTTTGTATAATTTTATTACTACATTTGAATGCTTCATGATATACTTATATCTGTATGTGGCACATGTAGATTATTTGTAAGATTCTCATATATACAAATGTATACATATAGCTAAAGCATGCAAAGTCTTTTGACTGATTAGGTCGTATGATTTAGAAAGTTCAGGAGACCAGTGTGAAATTTCTGCAGACACACTTGCACACCTAGATCTTGGTGCTGATTTTCCTCAAAGTTTTCTTAGTGTACGAAAGGGAATATTTAACATGCATTGCAAAATGTTGTGTGGGGAGTGGACTTCAGGACTACTTATTTACTGCTGTCGCAACTTCCCTGAAGGAAAAAAAAAGTCCAGTTTTGCTTTCTAAAATAGAAATTCAGTTTGATAGCATGGCACACTCCACCTGGGAAGGTTCCTGGAAATACAAATAGCAGAAAGGCAAAGAGAAGTAGGACTATGATTGTTACTCACTCCATTGACCATCAGGAGCACAAGGCCATTGTCAGCTGGGGTTCGAACTTCTATGTCAAAGCGAGTCACTTGACCAAATTTCCCTCGTCTTGTGATGTCCCTCACTATAGCATAACTGGAGCCATCAAAGAAGTAACTGGCAGCCCGACTCTGAGTGAAGGCCAGTTTATCCCTGAAATGGAAACACAGGATCATATAAACATTGTAGTTGCCATTGTGCTTTCCAAGAGAGACCCTTTAACCCACTTTCAGAGCATCTTCCACTGACCTCACAATAGGTAAGTGAAATCATGTTGTATGCATGGAAGAAATGGAGTAGTTACATGTCAGCTGACTTGTTTTACATGGATTTCTTCCCTACCCTACATACTAACACAACTGAAGTCTGCAGGGAAACGCCAGCCTCTGAAGTCCTAAATCAAAGCTTCAAGCAAATTAACACTTTTAATACTTGTGGGAGTTCATCTATGGTAGAGAAAAATTGACGTTTTTTTGCAGGCATGCCTATTATGTACTTTCACAACTGTTTTCCTCAAAGAAAAGTTTGGGAACTTGCATATTGACTCACACTTGTCCTACCTGCTGCTCTTGGCTGACTATCAAAGTCTTTAGTATCCTTAACTCTTACCTGGCACAAGGCACTGACTTGGAGGGATCCATATTGTGGATGTGCTTAAAGTTGTACAAGCTGATCACCTCATTATTCAAAGTGGCCAACTCCAGGCAGCCAACAAAGCCTGGCAGGTTTAAGCTGGCAGGGAGCTGTGCAAAGACAAAGTGAATTACCCTGTGGTCATGTTTCACCCAGGCACCATTAAGCCAGCAATGAAGCTAACTGCATGTCAACAGGATCTACCCATGGACATAAACATCTTTTTAGACCAGAGTTTGTATCAACTTGATGCCAATCACTTAAATAGCAGTGATTTGTCAGTTGTACATATCTTAGCAGAGAAGGTGAGATGGGTTGAGCGTAGACTATGTATGTTAGACAATGAATTCATGACAAATCAATTCTCATATCAGCTTTGAGAGGTAGGTATTCCTGATCTCAAATAAAGGGAAGGAAGTAATTCTAGAGAGGTTCCATAATGTACCCATAACTAGTAAGTTAGCCTTGGAATGGAAACCCTGGATCAATTTTCCATCTTCTTGGGCCTATCTTATCTACCCTTTATGAGGTCTCATTCTCCTCTAGGTCCTACTATCTCCTACCTCAGACAGTTTATTTCATGTTCATCAGCTGAGACGATTGAGTTTTTCAAACTGCCATGTGCAATGCTGAAGACTAGATCAAAACTGTGGTGGCACCGCAAGGTACCCGCATTCTTGTACCAGGCGGGGTGGTATTAATTACCTTTACATGTATCAGAATGAAATTCATTGATTTTCAAGTGTTGGCTATAGCTTGAAAGCATGTGATACTATGAAAATGTGGGTAGTAGAGACCAGATTTATACAGCAGATTTACAGATCCTGGTGTAGCATTCTACTACTTATTGAGCTGAGCTCTCAAAGTGATATCAGGGTACTCCCCTCCAATCACTATAGGTTTATGGACTTATAAAAACAAACAATAATAAGTCAAAATGTAGCTGGATGGTTTACCTTGAAGTTTGAAGGCACCCCGCCAACATAAAACACAGTGTCCTCAGGGTCCAGGTCCAGCAAGGAGTCATCTCCTGCAAACTCTCCCTTTTTAATAAACTTTTCCTCTGCTGTGGTACTCAGGCTTGGGACTGTCAAAAACACCTTTCCATGTTTCCCTACCCTATTGAGAGAAAAGATTTTCACTCTATTAGTCTGATAATTTGTAGGAAATACCTTCTCAATGTCAAATGTTAATGTCCCTTTGCCACAAAATTGGTGATTTGATTTTACCACATTAATAAGCATTTATAGGAAAATGAAAAAAAAGCATTTGTAGGATATCAACAGGGAGGGGGAGACAAATGTTCCATTTTTGAAGATTAATTTATGAGCTGGCAGGTAAAAAGATTTAATAACCAGATTATTATTTAGACACGATAAGCATTTTTTGTAATCTTTTCTTTTTCACTAAAAGTGTTTGGGAAGGAATATAGGAATAATGGAAGAAAAAGGACAAAGATAAAAGGAAGAATATACTATTTATTATATCTATAGGAAGACTGTTCAATAGATTTCTTACAAAAGGTGAATATAAGCTATGAATTCACGTTACCTTTCAATCTTGACAATGCTAAAATAAGAAGGCCAGGAACTGACGGGCTTGGAGTCCAGGGGAATCTCCACATCCTTATTTCCCAAGTTATAAATGTATACCAGGTTATCATTTTTTATTGCAAGACCCATATACTCTTTTTTGGCCTGAAATGTCAAGTATATAAAATTCACATAAATGAGCATCATTGATTTTAATTTTCTTCAAAGCATGGCAGTAGCCCAAATATTTGGTGTATACAAACAACTTCTGGTCTGAATTATTACCCAATGTTCTCTTAGACTAGGGCATCAACTCTTCATTTCCTGTGACTGTGTCAGTCTGCTGCCCCTGTGCTTGCTCTAAGAGCATCCTGGACAGGGAGGAAGGCAACTGCAGGCTTGTGGAAATTTGATGGCTGCCAGGAGTGTGCTAACATTGTGAGGCTAACCCAGGGATGTCATCTTGCTATGTATCTTTATGCAGGATTCAGCATCAAATGCTCTTCGAAAGGCCTTTGAAATGCTGTGTTCAGACTCATCAAAGCTAGTAATGGGAAGCAAGTGCTAGGAAGTAATCCCAGAAATACCCCACATAGAAAGGAAATCTCTTGCCCTTCTATCATTAATCTGTGCCATTGAGATGATTTCTATCTTTTAGTTTCCAGAATGGAAATTCATTTGTTTACTTAGGCAGCTTTTTTCAGCAAGAGAAAGAGCAGCTTTCCCTTTTAATACTATCACTTCTTTAAGTCCTCATATTCTTACAGTTTTGCTTCCGAGGTACAGCACAAACTGATCTGCAGTCCCAGTCACTTCTGGCTGCTTCACGGGAGGCTTCATGTACAGGCTGAGGGATGTGAAAGCTTTCAAGTCATCAATACTGGTTTTGGGGTGCACTTCAACGGCTGACTGGCCATCAAACATCATGGAGACTTGAATCTGTAGTTACAAAACTGTCTCATTAAAAGTGCTCTGCAGAGAGAGTCAGAATGCTTTCCCCTGGTTCTCAATGATCTTCCCTCCTTTTTTGGAGGGGCCTCTGACCTCTACTTGCCTCTATCCTTTTATTTATTTACTTATACATCTTTGCCTTGTTGGAGAAAGGATTTAAGGAAGATTTCTATACAATAGTTTGAACTGGAAGTGGGATGTAAGAAAGCAAAACAATAAAGATGACAAAGTAGATCTAAGAATGAGGATAAGCATGAATTCCATGACGAACTGTGTATTTAGACTTGGTAAACAAAACAATCTGAAGAGACAGCCGACCAGTTATACAACTCACAAGACCCCTATGATTTATATAAAGCTGATTGTTTAGGAGAAGTCTAAATAATCTTGGGTACTAATACAGCTTAGAACTTTCTCCTCATCATAAAAGGATCAAAGGGTGAGGCTGTAGGGAACATTCTAGACTACTTCTGTATGGTCAGGAGTCTAGACACAGCCTTGTAGCTTTGAAGTCTGGCTGTGCCACTTAGTAACTAGGTAACCATGAGCAAGTCACTTAGCTTTCAGTGTCCTCATCTGTAATAAAGATGAAGAAGACGATAAATTTGTTGTGAAAATGAAATAAGATGATAACCATAAGGTGCTTTTCAGTCGTTGGCTCGATCACTCAATTTCAGCACATTTCTAAGAGGCCCAATATAACATGCTAGACTCATCTGATTCATGGAATCAGAAATGGATGGACTGTGAATACTCATGCCATTTGTACAAATCTTTCTGAATAATTAGACTTATTTACATTAATTAATATTGACTTGGCTGATGTTGATTGTCAGCAAGCTCAAGATTTTATTCCCAAGTGCCAAGAGAACAGCTGTCCTATGGTGCCAGTTAAGTAAAGATCAATACATCTTAACAAACAATCAAGCAGTGTGAGACTGAAGCCTTTTTGTAAAAAGTACAAGTCTGAGAAGGATGCATGTCTGCGTGAAAAGCACCTCACTTTGGGGAGAGAGTGAGTTCCCAATGGTAGAGCCCAGACTCTTTAGAAAATGCTTTTAGGTGATTAAGACCCCAAAATTATACTCTATATAAATAATAAGATAAACCTTTAAAAAAATATTCACTGGGATATCCCAAAAAAGGCAATTTGTAATGTAGAATCATTTATCACACATCACTTAAAATTTGGGTATATTTAGCAAGAATAAGTTCCATGATTATAAGAATAGTTGGTTTTTTGACTCTTCTTTCTGCCAGTAATTAAAGCCAATAATCTATTCAGACCAATTCTTAGTTGAGAAAATAAAAGCATATAATTTGGTTGTCAGAAATGAGGCTTGTCTATTCATCAATCAAAAAGAAATTTAAAAGAGGTCGAAGAATAAGCCCTACTTTGCCAACTGAAAACGTTAATTGTGTCAGGATGTATTCCTATTGACACACTCTAGCTGTCTTGTTGCTAGGTTGCTTCTGTAAAAGAGTTTCAAAATGGGGCCTCTGTTGAGTTTCTTCAGTTTAGCTGGTATTATATGTGGTTTCTCATCTAAGCCTGTGGAGTAGTCAATAAAAGGCTCACATAATCCGTGTGGTACCAGAGAACTGGAGGAGGTGGGACAGACGGGCAAGAGTATTCCATCTGGTAATTGTACCCACGTAGCTGTTAAAATAACAACTAATAATAATAGTGTGGAGTTGTCTTTTTCTTGGGGGTTTATTTGATTTCTTTTGCTGTATGTTTTGTTGATTAGGTTAACTCTGGTTCTTAATCCTCACTACACATTAGAATAATTTGGAGTTTTTTAAAAAATACAGATGGTTGAGCCCTTCTTCTCTGAGGCTGGGACTAGGAATTGGTTTATTTTTCACAGTTCCTCCTGTGAGTCTAACTGAGAGCTACTGAGTCAGATAATACAGGACTAAGGTTCCAGCCTTGGGAGCTGCCCGAGGAACAGTTCTCGTTGCTGAGTGACCAATGGTACTTCTCATCAGTTACCTTACTGGCGACACTTCTGGTCTGAGCGATGAGCTCTCGGACCCTCTGGATGCTGGCAGAAACATTGCTTGCAGGCCGCTTCTGCTCAACTGTACGAAGCTGATCCAGGAGCTGAGGGACAACCTCTGTCAGATTTCTTACTGTGGTAATAAAAATTAGTCACTTCAGTGAATGTGTGCAGTATGATTCAGAAATCAAGTGAAGAGACAACAAACACATGATTACCTCTGGTAGAGGTATAAGAACTTATTTTTAATACTGCAAATTTAAATTTAGTACTGCAAAACCATTTTGAAGAATAGTTTTCAGAGAACGACTAAAATTCTAGTCATAATAAAGTCCAAAACATAATCCATTCTTATTTTGTGACATTTAGAGTACATAATGATTTATAAATTGAATGTGGAGCATGCTGACTTACAATCAACGTTGCTAAAGGGCAGGATGCATGACAACCACACACATGTCCCTTTAATCATACAGCACAGGTTCCATTTGCATTTCTATTATAACTGATAAAACAAGTGAAAAGGAATTCACTGGGCAGAAGGAGGAGGGACATTGCTTTCCAGGGTGTTTATGCATATGTCACCTACTGCTGCTACAGTGTCACAGCAGAGGCAGAGATTGATGGAGGAAACCAGGTAGTACCCAGCAAAATGGCAGCTGAGCCATGGACAATGGGCCCAAGCAAGGGTGACGCTGCAAGCAGATTGTTCTCTTTGTTCGTTTTTTTGTCCTGGACCAGAACAAAACAACTCCTGGGTGTTTAGGAAGTCTAGCAAAAGGAAAAAGGCCTGGGATGGGGCACATTCCAGCTAGTGCAGTTGTGCTCCATCCCCCAGGCCCATGACAGATCTACTTCTTGTGTGCTGTTTTAATTTTTTAGAATACATAATACACAGAGAAGAGCAAAAGTTAAAAGAATATAGCTGGATGAGAGAAACTCAAAACACAGAGGATGTAGCCTAACTTTTCCAAAGTTTCATTGACTCAACAGTGGTTCTTAAAGTATGGACCTCAGATCAGTACAATCTGTGTCTAACAAGCCCTCTAGGGGATTCTGAGGCAGGATAACATTTGAGAACCACTGGAGCATGAATGAATATTTTGAGGGTATTTTTCCCAAGGGCAGGACCATGGTCATTAAGCATTAGCAGCTGGGCAAGAGGAAGTCTTCTACTACAGTCAAAGTAAACTCAGATTTAGGAGACATGTCAGTGCTGGTTAAGGACACAGCTCTCCTCTGTGCCTAAGAAACAGGGTGTTTCTCCAGGATAAGGAATGGAATTAAGTAAAATAATAGCGACTTCCAGTTTATTGTATAATTATTATAGAGGTAAGTATTTGTTATTTGGATCACTAACCACAGAACACATTTTAGAGTCTTTAAAAAGTGAAGGAAATCAAGTATATTTAAAGCATTACATTAAATTTTGATTATGGAAATTTATGCAGGACAGGGTCAATCCCTGCCTTCAATTCTTTCAGAAAGAGGGAGTGAACTTATATTACAGTCTTTATACAGTCTCTTCTATTATGGTATGTGCTTTCATTTACTCTGTTTTGAACCACAAAATGTTATTTGAGGCAAGTACAGTAGCCTGAAACAATTTCAGTTAGTGGTAGTTCTGATGCTTTTTGGAGTAACTTGATAGGACTGATGAGAAAGGAGGAAAAGAAATTTAATACAGATTCAGCAAACATTCTATATGTGTGTGTGTGTGCATATATATATGTGTGTGTACATATATATATATTTTGCAAGTGCTCTACCATTTGAGCCATATCCTCAGTACCTTTGCTTTTCTTAGCTTGTTTTTCAGATAGGGGCTTGTAGTTTTGTCTAGGTCAGCCTCTTGACTGAGATTCTCCTACTCTGCCTCCTGAGTAGCTAGGATTACAAGCATGTACCACCATGCCTAGCTCTGATGCAATATTTCAATTATTTTAAAGATAAAAATGTTAAAGCAGTTAAGTGAGTGGCTACATGGAAGAATTATATGAGTATATACTTATAAGACAATATAAAAGTGCTATTTTCCTGTTATGGTAAAGGGAATTTGTAAATTTTGATCAAATTTCTAGTGATAGATCATACATAGATTCCTAAAGTTGTTTCTTAATTTGGATGCAAGTGAAGAAATATATATGGTCTATAAAACCATTTTGAAGAATAGTTTTCAGAGAATGACTAAAATTCTAGTCTGAAATGATATCACTAGACATTGGTATTTAAGAGGTTGTGAAGAGAATGAACAAAATGTGAAAATAGAAAAAAGGGAATTTCTCAAGTATTATGTAATTTTAATATCTATGTACAGATGTTGGTAGACATTTCTCTTTCATTGCTTTAATATTATATATTCAAAGTGACTGTTCTTACTGGACATTTGGTCATACTCTGAATTTGTTGCTGCAGGTAAGTAACAAGCAATCTGCTTAGTAGCAGATTTTTTTCCCCTAGAAACAAAACAGTATTTTGTTAAGGTTATTTCCTCTAATATTTCATCGAACTTTTTTCCTAAAGGATCACTCTTAACATTGATAAAAACAGTTGCCACCATTATTTCACATAGAAAAAGTTATCTCTTTGTCAATCTATTGTTTTAAAATTTTTTTGGCACTACTGGGGTTTGAACTCAGGGCCTCTCACTTGTTAGGCAGGTGCTCTACCACTTGAGCCACTGTGCCAACAATCTATTATTTATTTTTATAAAAATATTTCATATGCATATGTACACCGGCTGATAGATGACTGAGTAAAATTGTTTTCCTTTTCTGAACTAACATCTCCAGTATTCTAACCCCAAACTCAAACTGAGTCAACCGTTTCTTATCCAAAATGTGCAGACCTTACTGGCCAATTTCTCAACTGCATCCAAATTGTGCAGTCCCTCAGTGATACCTGCGTCTCTAGCAGAGTCCACTGCAGTGTTGTAAGCAGAAGAGTCAAAAGTTTGAAGAGTCTGGGACCAGGTGGTGAGATTGTTAGACATCGGCGCAGTGATCCGCTGGATCTCGACTGTCTTCTTGTTAGCTTCTTCAATGACCAGTTTGGACTGAGCCAGGCGCTGCTGTGCGTCACCTTCACACAGACACAGGACATTCACTTTGCAGAGCGGCAGGAAGTGTAGGACAGAACACTAACACCATGCAATCACCAGGAAGAAACACATCTCATGCTTTGGGGCCAGGCGCTGGTGGCTCACGCCTGTAATCCTAGCTACTCAGGAAGTAGAGATCCGGAGGATCATGGTTCGAAGCCAGCCTGGGCAAATAGTTCATGAGACTCTCTCTAGAAAAAACCCATCACAAAAAAAGGGTTGGGAGTGGTTCAAGGTGCTTGAACCTGAGTTCAAGCCCTGGTACCACAAAAACAAAAAACAAAACAAAAAAACTTTGGGATGGAAGGAAAACTAGTAGTAAAATATGTGCTTATTATGGTATAATTGAAGTGTACAAGAATCTTTCAAACAAGACTGTGGAGTTTGCAAGACTGTACAGTCTCATTAAAACCAAGTAGTTTACTTAAAATATTTTAAAACTAAGAGGTGAATGTTTTAAAAAATACTAACTGTATTTCCTCAAATTAGAGATCTGGTGAGAAAGCCCCAGAAAATGCATATAGATTCTAACTTATAACGCCTGTGTCCCAATCCATCAGGAATATCTCCTTCTTTCATGGAAAAATATTCTGTTTTTTTTTTGTAGTGCTGGGTTGGGGGGGCATATATTGTGGCATTTACAAAAGTTCTGAAGATAAATCAAATATATCATACTTGAACTCGCCCCCTCCATCATTCTCCTTTATCCTCCCCTCTCCCCATTCCTAGGACAATTTCAGTAGGTAGTACTTTTCCACTTACATAATGTATACACAGTATTTGCACTATATTCCCATACCCCCCCACTGGTATCAGCCCCCCAGCCAGGACCTGTTCTGCCCTCCAGTTGTCCAGTTTTGTAAAGGAAAAAATGACATATTTGTTTGTTTAAGGTAGTCACACAGGGAGTTTTCTTGTGGCTCCTCCAAGTATATATGTATTATAGCCCAAATTGGTGCATGTAGAACATTTTTGTCATAAAAATGATACTATAATCAGTATAGAAGTAAATTAATAAGAAAAGGTAGCTTTGCATAAGAAAAGCAAGTTCAAAAAGTAAAATCCTATTTAAAAATATTATTACATACTGAAAACAAAAATAATGTAAATTATGTTTGTCTAGGTGATGAGATCGCAGGTGGTTTTTCTTCTCTTTTTCTTATTTGTATTTTCCTATTTTTCTGTTAAGGTCGTGCATTAATTCTGTAATAAAAATAATTAGAAGTCACTTAGGTGACGCTGTAACTTCAAAATTTTAAACTGAGGAAACAAATTCACCCTTAGCCTCTGGATTCTGATGAGTGTAGATTTGAATCTTGGATCTGTTTCTTCCTTGCTGTGCCTGTCGGAGCAAGTTCCTTAACTCTGACAAGCCCTAGGGTTCTATCACCCTAAAGCCATAATGACACTTATCCCTCTGAGATAAGGTAAGGAATTGTTCAAAAACAGTTGCTTTGATGAGGCTGATGATTGACTTCTCAATGCACAACCTCCTCCTTTGCTGTACTGCAGGCCTGGGTCTGTAATCTGCTCCTTTTTAGCAAACCTTAACTTTCGTTATGCTGAACAAGGCACATCTGCTTCCAATCACAGCTTCCTAAAACACCCTGTACTCCCAGATTAGGTAAAATGAGTGTTCTTGTTTCTCTGTTTGGCTCGTTGATCTCCCTGCTTAACCGATAAGAGTAACTTGACATATAACAGAGGCAAGCTGTTTACAGTGGAGGCCAGAGAAATCCAATAACCAAATTAGGGCATACTGTTAACAAAGGATGCTCTCAGGAAAGCAGGTTACCAAGCAGTGTAAACAGCAAGATCCCACTAAAACATGCATGCATATACTCAGACACAGAGGAAAGATTGACAGAAAATGTTCTCAAACTGACATCACCTCTGGGTGGTGTGATTATGGCTTTTATATTTATATCTTCTTTTTAATTTTAGGACTTTTTTGGAGGTAATGAATATTGCTTTTTTTCTCATCAGAAAAAAATACTAATTCATAAAAAAGATTGACAAGTTTTTCTTTTTAAATAAAAAGATTGATAATCACCTAATTCTTCCTCAAGTTTTGTGTTATACACCAGTGAACAAACAGATGAGACTTCTAAGCTCTCTCTGTGGTCCTTACCTCTCTCTGCTGCTTGGAGTCGCTTAAGGGCATCGTTTAATCTGTTTTTAAGGGTACTTTTTCTCACTAGGGCTCCACCCACGCGCCTGCTTGTGTCTGCCACTGCTTCACCATTACCTGTGAAGAAGCAGAGAAAACTATCAGGGGGTCCAAGATGCCTAGAAAAAGTCTCTACTGCAACAGCTAAAATTCTGATTGGTACCATGGATTCATATGCAATAATTCTTTTTTCTTGTTCTTTTCACAAAATTTCAATGGATATATAGCATATATCTAGAAAAGGGCACACATTCTAACTAAGCTTGATGAATTTTTACAAAGCAAATTTCAGCATTCAGTTTACGGACATAGAATGTGAACATTTTTTTAGCACCTGCAAGGCTCCCTGGAACTCTATAGTTACCTAAAGATGACCACTAATTTGAGGTCTGTCTCCATCTGCTATTGTTGTCTGGTTTAAACTCCACTTAGAAGATATGATTAAGTACTGTAATCTTTGATTTTTGTTTGACTTTTTTGTAGAGTTGTAATAAATCTTGATGTCATATAGTTTAAATCTTCCAACTTTGTTTTATTCTTCAAGATTATTCTGGCTATTGAAATTTCCCCTCTATTTTCAAGGAAACTCCAGAATCATGTTTATTTTTTTCTTCTTTAGATTTAATTACTTATCTCCTTTGATTTAGATAATCTTTATTTTCCCTCAGTAATGCATTATAGTTTTATGTGTAATGATGCTAGAACATTTTATTAGTTTTTCCCTAAGTATTTGATGCTATTGCAAATGATGTTATTTAAAAAAAGTTAATTTCTAGTTATTTATAAATATATAAAATTAAACTGGCCTTTTACACATTGAACTGGTAGTGGTGTATCCTTACATGGTTTCCAATCTTAAGGGAAAGGCTTTTAATATTTTATTATTAATGTTTGCTGAATATTATTTTATTCTTCTTCATTAGATTATGGGTATTTTCTTCCATTCTTAGTTTACTAAGAGTTTTTTTTTTCAAAATCACAAATAGGTATTGTTTTATTAAATAGTTTCCCTGTAGTGAGATAATCGTATGTATTTTCTCGTATATTCTGTAAATGTAATGAATTACAACTGCTGTTTCAAATATTAAGTTACCTTGTTCATCATGTCAGCATTTTTATATATGCTATATTTGATTTGGTAATATCTTGAGTAGGATTTTTGTATCTCTGTAAGAGAATTTGGCTTGTATTTTTCCTTTTTTATACATCCTTTGCAGGTTTTCATGTCTAAATTTTTGGGCTTTATAGAATAAGAGGGAGAGATTTGTTCTTTTTCTATTTTCTGAAAGAGTTTGTATATGAGTGGTGTTATTTCTTCTTTAAAAAGTTTTAAAATTTTATAATTTTTACATTTACTCATGTGTATACACTGTTTGGGCCACCTCCCCTTGGCCCCCCACCCCCTTCTTTAAATGTTTGAAATAACTCATTACCAAGCCTGGAGATACCTTTGTGGGAAGAGCTTAATTGCTGATTAAACTTATGATACCTCTATGTGTACACTCAGTTCCATCAGATCTATTCTTTGTGTCTCAGTTTTGATAGCCTTTTTCTTACTGAATTATTCTTGAAAATATGCTTGCAGTACAGTCCCTGAACTGGGAATCTCTTTGAGCAAATCTCAACAGGTCATGGTGTAGGATCTCTGTCTAAACTGAAGGATGGGTTTTCCAGGTAATTCTGTTTCTGTTTTGTTTACTTCCAAAGCATCAGGGAATTTATGCTTCTTGACAAATAGCAAAATAATTGCCTCATTTCTCATTGTCCCTCTCTCTTTCTCTCTAGGGGGCTTGAATGTGTGCACTCACCACCGTGCACTCTCTTTTCTATGTCACAGGCTTGGTGGGTTTTATTTATGGTCATTTTTCCAGTACAAACACATAATAAATGCAAACTAGGTAATGTTAGGTGGTACTACCACCAAGTACAGTGAAAGAAAGAACAAGCACTTCTTGGGAATCTGCAAATTTCTCAGAATTTGGAGTGACTTAAATATTACATTTTAGCTGAATTGCATCAACTCTCCCTCTTTTCAGTGTCAGTTTTCAGACGTGATGTGAAATCTTTTCATCTCTTCCTTTTGGGCCTGTGACTGCAAAAAAACACTGCTTGACATATTGAGAAAGAATATATTTAACTCCTATTTGGAGCTGTTGATAAAAATAGAAGAGAGAAAATCTATTTTGGACTAGATGTTTATAAGAAGAAATGTTTCATTAAAAGTGTGTCCTGCTGGGAGCTTATTGTCTTACACAAACATTTTGTAGAAGATTACTTTAAGTAGCAGCTTCCTGAGCTTATTACAGATTGTTAGATATTTGATATAGACAATGAATAAAAAGAAAGCTGGGGAATAGATTACTTATCATAGAAAGTCATTTGGAAATGAAGAAACAGTAATCTGAAATTATAATGTAACTCAGTAGATGATCATAGTTTAAACTGAAAACCTGAATTTGTATCACAAATATGCCTATTATCAAAGGGAGAGAAAGTTATAAGCTGCATAGTTCTAACTCCCCTTTGCCCTTTACAAGGGTATTTAAGAGATTTAACCAAAAAAGGTCATAAAATAAGTGACTGGAATTATAAAATATTCAAAGATACTAATGCAGACAGATTTATTGGACATACAGTATGGAACTTTTAAGAGATGCCATTCCCATGGTACAAAGTTGCTTTCATGAGGTTCAAAAACTGAATAATGATAGGATTGAGAAAATACCTGATATTAAGGGAAATAAAACATTTTGTTACTGCATCATAAAGACCACATATTCTTGTTTTTACAACACAAGAAATAAAAGCAACATATAAATATGGCACACTTATTTTAAAATATTTTACTGCTAATATTCTAACTCTTTGCTGCTAATATTCTAATTATTTTTCAAAAAGTGTGCTCAGGATTAGACAAATAATAAATTAGGTAGACTTGTATAATAAATTAGAATAGAGAAACTTAATAGCATTTTTAATTGCCTTTGTTTATCTAGAAAACATAAAATAATAGTTGCTTTGTGGTAATTAAATAGCTGAGGATTCTGAATATGAAAATCAAAGTGTTTTCATGTTTTCTATATGGTGGTTCTTTGCAAAAGAAAAAAGAAGGAAAATGCATGGTTAGACTTGAGATTAATTGCTTTGATAAATTTTCAGTTTCACACTCGGCCTTTGTTTTAGGTGGTAGGGAGAAGTTCTGTAGACAACGAATTTCCAGTTCTAAATTAGTGCTCAAATATCCTTAATTCATTACCTCAGAGATGAGTAATGTTTAGTAAAGTTCTTAGTCCATTCAGTTGTTTTTAAGAGTAACTCATGTGATTTCAAGTGGACTACAGTGCTTTCACTTTTATTTCTCTCCCAGTTCCCATTCTTGGACTTGTTTGCTTCAGTTAGCAGGTGCAAACACTGGCCTTTGGAAATGCTTCTTTCCGTAGGGTCATTAGTCTTGCCCTAAGTACAATCAACTGTAAAATCCATCTACAAGAGAGTCCAAATAACCAGATGGCTTTGTGGTATCCTGTCATCCTAATTGACTCTCAAAGGGATGATCTGTCCCTTCACAGTAAAAATTTTAAAGGGCCTTCTGAATTGTTCAAAGGATTGAAAAAGAGATTAAATTACATGCAACATAATTTTACTGTTAAGTATACTTTATGGCATTATCCTCTTGAAAACTGGTATTTAGTCAACCTACTTGACTAAGCAAAAAAAAATCTACCAGCTGTTGGATAAATATATGTTTACATGTAGTTTTGCTACATGGTAGCTACTTTTAATCATAATTTATTTAAAAAATATCAAATCTTTGCTTTTTTGGAACTTGATATGCGCAGGAGCTAGTGGTATATTATTGAGTTGTGATATTATTTGTTCTTTAAGGCTAGAGTCTAGAAATTTCCATCTACATGCACAGAAGATAGGAAGCAGCTGTAAATCAAAGAATTCAGGAGAGTGAGATATTTACTAGAATCTGCCTTTGCTTGCAGTTCTCTGGCTTGATTGAGAAGGTTGTCGCTTTCATCTTTATGGTAAATGATTTGAGTATCAATCCCACTCACAGCCTACAAAGGAAGTGGATGGAGAGAGAGTAAGAATCACAACAGAACAGGTGTCAAAGTTCCAGGTTTTAGGATTTAAATGACACAGTTTATCTGCAAAACACCAAGCAAAATTCATGCAGCTTCATTTTTACAGCTCAAAATCCAGATCAAATATGAACATGAGAAAACAATGACTTTGGAATTTCAAGATAAATATTTTTCTTTTTTTTCAGGAAAATTCAGCAAACCTTGACTAGAACAGTGCCCTGGCCAAGGCTCCAACAAAGTGCTTGTTGCATAGAAGCCATTTAATAAATAATTTTGAATTGAAAAAATATGAATGAATGCATAAAGCACCTTTTTGTATCATCAGAAGCTAGTCTGAAATATGTTTTTTTCAGGGGACCTTGGCTAAAAAAATCTGTCAAAGGAATGAGCATTTTCTGACACAAGTATAGCACATCTTGAAAAATTTGCAAACTGAAACTACTTCATTGCACAAAATGTTCAGTTCCCCTGGCCTTTCTGCTGTTTGATTTTACATCGGAAGCTCAAGAGATGACATTAGAAAACAGAAAAGTCAAAGTGGTACCATGCAACATATAAATGAAGCTTAAAATAAGGGAATACTCACATCATAAATTCGGTCAGTGACATTCAAAGCGACTTCGGCTGTTTCATTGGCTTCACTGACATAACTGGCAATTTTTTCATAGACATTTGATGCATCCACAGCCTTCTGCACCAGCCCATTCATGTCTGAACGGTGCAAATTTCTGTTAAGAAACCAATCTGACCTTATTTCTCCTTCTTACCTTCTAGGGAAAAGGGGTCATTTTTAGTGTTTGATTTCAATACTTCTGGGATATAAATGCCTCCTTCCAGTTATTCAAAGTCCTTTGGCTTAAAAGGTTTTCCTGAGACACCCTTCCTAGGGGCACATTATCTTTGCATTCCTCTTCTGTGTTGCTCCCAAGACTTCACCCCATTTTTGACTCCATGGCAGCTGCTGCCTGGCAGGAGAGTTTATGTATGTGGTAGAGGTCAGGCAAAGAAGTGAACCCATAGTCACCCCCACCAGCTCCTTCCCAGTCAGCATCATCACTCCCTTTCCATAAGAAGCCAAGACTAAGAGGGGGTACAGAGTGCCCAAGGGTACACATTGTTTTGTGAACATCCATCTTACTCTTGACAGCCTTAGCTCAGCCCACCCTCACCTCTGCGCTCACACACCATGTTCTCTGCTTTTGTCCCTTTCTAGTATAAGGGTCACTGAACATTTACTGAGTACCCATCTTGCACTGGGTGTTCACATACACAGTAGGGGCGAAAACTGGTATGTCCTCTAAGGATTAATATAAGGCATACCCGGGATTAAATATGCAAATGCTTGACATCCTGCACCTGGCTTCGGCAAACTTCATGGTTTATTATTATACTTAAACTATTTCCTGAATTGGAATTGTAAACTGTGTGCGTATCCACATAATTTATTTTTTGACAAATTCATTTGATTCCTCTACAATAAAAACTCTTCTCCCACTTGCATAGCTCATCCTAAACCCTTTGTCTTCATTTAATTCAGTCTTAAATCCATCAGTTCCTTATTTTTTCTCAGTTCCATGTGTGGAGGACTAGTCTCACTTTATCTATCTGTGACCCAGGCAGTATATGACATTAGAGACCCCATACAGGCTCCTTTCTCTCCAAACCACCTGAACTCAGTTAACTGTTTCTCTGTGTCCTCCATCACAGCCCTGTCCTAGTTTGCTCTCCTAGGCTCTGAGTAACTTCCTCTGTGTTTCCTTGGCCACTTCCCTCTCTTTTGCCTAAGTTCACTACCATTTTACTCTCCTGTAGCAGGGATGACTTACTCATTAGGCAAGGAAGGGCCCACAAAATTGTTTCCATTTAAATCAGAAGAAAAAAATGAGTAAAATAAAAAATAATTGTTAGTCTTTGTATCAATGTAGTTTTAATTTGTTTTATGGAGAAAGGGACCAATTGAAGCAAAAGTACTTATGGTCTGTAAGTGCTATGGTCAGAATACAGCCCTGCTCTGCAGAGATAATTCTGATCCACACGCCTGTTCCTTGTTCCTCCCCATAACCCTTTCTTCCTAGAAATGGCTTGGAAAATAAAACCTGAGGCAGGTAGACAAGAAAAAGCTATAAAAGGAGTAAAATGTTATAAATATTTATTAACATTTTAAGATTTTGCTGGCTAGAGAAATAGAAGTACCAAAGAGCTTGAAATAAAGCCTGCATTTGTTTTTATTATGAGGCACAAAACATACCACATCAATATTAAAAGAGTGCTTTTGAAATGGAAGCTTCTCAGTGAATTATATTTGTCTCTGAGCACAGCATGCAGATCAATTTGTACACCAGACACTGAGGAATATTCACATTTTCTATCTATACGTTTGAATGTTTCCTTCAATAGATTTAGACAGAAATGTTCTAAACACAGAAGAATTTCAGGGTGATTGATGTTTCTGCCCATGTTTCAAGTGAAATATGCAGTAGCTTCCTTAGAACCATGCTGGAACACCACTGCAAAGTAGAGCTTAGAGAAGGTATGTAATAGGGTCTCAATCAGGGGCTCATGGGTATTATAATGACAAAGGAATAATGAGGAGAGCCATAGGGTAGATCTCAAAAACAATATCCATCCAATATACTACACATCAAAAAAGCATTTTATTTGAGCCCATTTTATTGTCTTCATCAAAGGCACATTTCCTAGGGGTATGATACGGAGATAGATATACTATTATTTCACAGAACAAGATTTTAGGTTCTCTCTCTCTCGCTCTGTCTTCACCCCCCACCCCATACTGTCCTGCCCTCAGGAGATTTGGAAGAGTGTTTGAAAATTTTGGCAAGCAGGAATAAGAAGGCGATGTTTGTCTTGAACAGAAGTTAATATTGGTTCTTATCTTACTCACGACCCTTACTGGTCCTTGTTTCTGACAGCCAGATCCGTGGTCTTTCTCTATAATGATCTCACTATTTACCTATTATTTCAGGGTCATGAATTCAATTCTGATCTTTCAGCACTTTCAATTAGCATTAATTGAGTGCCTGCAGGGTGCACAACTCTCTTCTAGATGCTGTGAGGAAAATTGTCAATTGATTTTCTCTTAACAGGTGTTGAAATCAAATAGTTCCTGCTGAGCACTGCAGAAAAACTATTTACCAAAGTCAGTTGCATTACCAACTTCCAACTAGCTTTGCGTAAGGTACTTGGGTCTCGAAAGCAAATGTTCTCTATGAAATACACAGGTGACAATGGCAGAAACAGAACTTGTGAAGGGGTCTGATTTATTCCCTAACCAAAATGCCTTAGGTCACTCCATTAATAATTGTGGAGCAGGTCCCATCTGTACCCCCACCCAGAGCACAGGCCTCTAACTATACAGATTTTTTTTCCTCCACAGAACAACTGCAATAAACGGTGATTTGCTCTCAGAGGGAAGAACTAACTAATCAACAAGTTAGCACACTCAGCTCCTACCACTGCATCCTAATAACTCTGGAATGGGAACTGAATACAAATGTCTCCTTTGGCCCATGTAGATATTTGTGTTTCTAAAGCTAGGCTATTACCTGCTCAACTCATCAGCTTCTTGTTGAAGGTTGCGTGCATGGTCAGTAGCTTCTTGGACTAAATCATGACTGAGGATACTCAGGTTAGATAGTTTTCCTTGTAGCTCATTTTTGGCTCCATCTATTTCTGCATAAATTCCTGATGCATTCTGAAGGGAAAAAATTACAAAATAAGTGAATTGAGTTTAGAAGAGCTTAGAACATTCCCCGCTAACCCCTCGCCCAGGGAACACACAAAAAAAGTAGTCTCTATTCTTTCTTATCAGAAGTTCAGCAAACTTCAAGCCTAAAATACTACAAGTAGGTATTTATTTCTCCTGCATCTTTAACTTCTTCTCTACTGGGTTTTTCTTCATTATTCTGACATGCTGTCACATCCTTTCAAAAAAAAAAAAAACTAACCAAAATCCTTCCATTAGCTGCACATTTTCTTGATACTACCTTTCTATTCCTTCTATGGAAAAATGACCCTTAAAAAGTTGTTTATGCATGCTGTCTCTGTTCTATCACTTTCTACTCAACTTTTTGAACTTTTCCAGTCTGGTTTTTGCCCCAACAAAGCAAAAGTTCAGCCAGAGGCTGGTGGCTCATGCCTGTAATGCTAACTACATCGAAGGCAGAGATTAAGGATTTGGGTTCCAAGCCACCCTGCACAAAGTTTGAGAAACCCAATCTCCAAAATACCCAACACAATAAAGGCCTGGTGGAGTGGCTCAAATGGTAGTGCACCTGCCAAGCAAGTGTGAGGCCTTGAGTTCAAGCCCCAGTACCACCAAAACCAAGCAAACAACAACAACAAAAACCACACAAAAAAACCAGTTCACTTAATGACATCCGAGTTGCTAAATCCAGTGGCCATCATTTGACTTCATCTTGTTTGATCTCTCAATTAGATTTCATTTGGCTGAGTACTCCTTTCCTAAAACTGAACTCTGTGACATGACCTCACTTAGTTTTCAATCCAACCCTCCACCTAGGATCTTGGCTAAAAACCCACACAACTGTGTAGATGGATGCTTCTGTCAGCCTGTGACTTTCAGCCTTGGCTAGGCTCTCAATGCTGAAAAGAGATTTTTCTCTTGATCATCCAAAAGCAATCATAAACACTGTCACCATAACCAAGTCAACAATATTTCCTTCCTGCTGCCCCATCTCATTTTAAGCAGACCGTTTTCTTTTCTTTTTTATTTAGAATATAAAAAACTATTAGCAGAGAACTGGTCTACACTTAAAATGTTTCCTTACTATGCAGGGAGATCAATTAGTGAAACTCCAGATCTCTCCATCCCTTCCTCACTCTACCCTATGAGGGGGATGACTTATTTGATAAACTTGGGAAGAATAACTACATAAGCTCTGCTCAAATCCATACTCTTTCTCTTGGGCAAGCTGCCTGCAGAAAGCCTGAATTTTCCTGTGTTCCTCCATATGAAAGAATTTTGGGCACAACCTCCATCCAAGTGTCACCTCATTGCCTATCTAGGTAGTTAAATCTGCCTGCTTTTGGCACTGAGTATCAGCAACTCCACTTGGCTAGGACTTAAAGGCATGCCCTCATTTTAGAGATAAGGTGACATTCTTGGTTTCCATATTTATAATTTCATTTTTTTCCAATTTGTTTGGAACCTGGATACTGGAAAGTGGTGCTATTTATTGGTAGCCCTCTCAGAGACTCCAACACCAGCAAACAGGAATTTCCACCACCCTAAGCCTATGTTTATTTATAGCTACACCCATACATACACTTCTATTTTAGAAGGAAAAACTATTCCTTTTCTGTATAAGCCATGCTCTCCCTTTTTCTCAGCCACCTACTTTTCTGTTCTTCTTGTTCCCTAGCTGCCGAGTTCTTCCCATTGAAAAACAGAAACAAACAAACATACAAAAGCTATTCCTCGGTCTGGATTACCGTCTAGTGTCTCTCTTGCTTTGATATAGTGCACTCCACAGAAATGGTTCTTCCAAGGTCCCCAATGCCAGATTTATTTGACACTTTCTCATTTCTCTTTCTCAAATCATTTCCCTCCCTCCCTCCCTCTCTGCCTCTTTCTCTCTGCTGGATCTGACTCTGGGTTGTGACAATGTTGGTTATTGTCTTTGCCTGGAAAGTATCTCTTTCTATAGCTTCTGGGACTCTGCTATTTCCTTGGATCTCTGTTTCTGATCAAGAAAGAGATCTCAAAGGTTGGTGCGCATCAGGGTTTGACTCCCAGCCCTTTCTTCGCCTCTGAGTGATCTGACTTTTCTCTGAGTCAAATCTTTCAGCCTTCTAACCCAGTCTTCACTGCCTTGCAGGAAAGGTGATCTTCCTATTAAGCAAATTGATCATGTTATTTCTTTTCTCAGAATCAACCAATTGCTTTGCAAGCATAAATTCCCACTCATCACTTGACACCTCCTCCCTCACTAATTCCATCATTTCACCACTCCCACCCTGTTATATCCATAGTCCAACCTTGTCCAACTGTTGTATTAATGCTGCATAATTTTTCTGGGGCTGTGTCTTTGCATATAATATCCCTGTCAGGAATAGCTTTCCTTTCTTTTCTGTTGGAATCATTGGAAAAGTTCAATTTATCCTTCTAAATTCAGCTTAAATATTATTTCCTTTTTGTAACCATCCTTAACTTCTCCAGGGAAGTTAGTGCTGACACATATTTCTATGATCCATAATCATTACAGTAATGTAATCATTACAGACTACAGTAATCATTGTGCATGATTATTTCACTTACCAGATCAAATAATCCTAGGAGGCAGGAACTGACTTTAACTTAGTTTTGCATTTCTAGAATGTAGCACAGTTCCTAGCACATAGGATTTGTTTTTTAGAGACTATATTAAGCCTGTAGCCATTTAGTTGGTCATCTGGAGAGCAATACTTTGAAAAAAATTGCTTTGAGTTATATAAACAGAAAAAATACCATGGACATTCCACCTTTACTCATTTATTCATTTAACAAGTATCTGCTGTATACCTACTATGTGCTAGGTCCTCTTTTAGGTGAGAGAATACATATGAAGATAGTATCTGTTTTCAAGGAATCTACAATTTACTGGGAAGATAGAGATAATAAAACAAGTGATCAAGTAAGTGAACAAGCTAAAATCAGAAAATCAAAGATACCTTCAATAAAGAAGAATAGGTGGGATGGGATGGAGAATGATTGAGCATAGGGACTACTTGGATTATATAGTTACAAGGATACCAGTCATTTGAAGAACCGGGGACAGCAGATGCAAAGGAGTAAGTATGGTGTGTTTGAAAAAATGAGAGAAGTTTTATGGGTGTAACTAGTGATTGGGGAAGTGAGTAAGGCATGAGGTTAGAGAGGTGGGCAGGAGCCGGGTGGCTTAGGGCCTCGTGAAATGAGGCTTAGGCCATAGTGAAATGAATGTGTTTCTTACTTTAAGTGTCACCTGGAGGTTTTAGTAAGAGAAATAATGTAACCTGATTAGGCTTTTTAAGGACTTTTCTGCTACTAGATAGAAAATGAATATTGAAGGGCAGGAGCAGAGGGGAGTGGATCAGTTAAGAGAATGTGGCAGTTCATGCTGGAGATGAGGTGATGTGAACTGAAGAGCAGATAAGCAAGTGGCTTGAAATCAGAACTCACTTTGGACAAAGGAGTGAGGAGAAAGGATAAATCAGGAATGACTCCGAAGTTTGCACTTGCACGATTGGGTTGTGCCATTTACTAATGGGAGAGTCTGTGTGGGAAGCAGGGTGGGGGGGAGTTTCATTCAGACTATGTTAAATTTGATGGGCCTGTTATAAGGCACATGAAGTAGTGATTTTGTGCCCCACCACACTGAGCTCTGACTTGTAAATGTCAAGCAAGCAGTTGGATAGGAGACTGGAGTTCAACTAAGGAGTCAAAGCTGGAGGTAGAAATTGTGAGATCAGCCGGGGGAGTTAATGATGCCAGCAAGGATGAGAGCACAGGTAGAAATGAGGGTTCTTTCTACCTGATCTGGACCACTTTGCTGATCATTTCCCAGAGTAGGGACCACTATGGCCCAGGGCCAGATACAGCTCGAAGTATGCTTTTACACAGCCCTGAGCTTAGACTATATTTTACATATTTGAAAGATTGTAAAAAAAAAAAAAAGTAAAAACAAAAACCAAAAAGCAGAGAAGAATAAGGGGCAGTAGCTATATTTGGCCTGCAGGGCCTAAGATGTTCACCATGCCGAGGATGCAGAGAACAGTCTGAGTGGAGGGCAATGGAATTCTGTGGGGGAAGGGTTGAGTACAGTAAAGGGTGGGGGTCTGGGAGGTGGAAACAGCAACTGTAAGTGACTTGAGATGTTTTGCAATGAGGCCAAGCAGTGTAACAGGGCGGAAGTTAGAGAGCCTATAGGAGTTAAAAACTATTATTTCAAAGAGCGGCTTCTAGAGCTGTTTCTTTCTGGTTTTAAAAGTAGGAAGTACTAGGGCAAGTTTGTGTGTTGACAGTAATAATTTAACAAAGAGTAAGAGTTTGACAGTGCAGGTGACAGGAGAAATATTTTCAGGAGTGAAGCCCTGCTACCCTTTTTTCAAGGCAAAGAAGGATGGGACTCAGTGATGAAGGTTGAGGGACTTAAAACAAGAGGGGAGGCAGAAGTGTGGAGACAGGGGCAGGTTGGCTGGCAGACTGAGGGAGGAGAGGTGAGAGGAGGTCTTTTCTGTTTGCTTCTATTTTCCAGTGAAGCGTGAAGCAAAGTAATCAGCAAGAATGGATAGAGGGGGAGATGGTTTTCCTACTGGTCACAGTGAGTGGGGGATACTTGAGTTTATTGGGGACCAGGGTTAGAATACTCAGTTGAATAAAACAGGGGAAAGGTGGATATGGAAATTAAGAGTAGTTTCAAGCAATGATCATATTGATAATTTTGGCTGTTTTAAGAGAGGAGAGGAGATGAAATGAGGTGAAAAGGCGTCGACGTGGCTGGAGAATTGTTGGCTTGGGCGTTCTAGAGTAAGTGAGGTAAGAGATTATGCTCAGGGAGGAAGGGGTTTGAAACTGGGATTTGGGAGGAGGTACTGTATTGATGACAAGATCCGGGTGTGGCCTGGGGGACAACAGAAGTAGCTGAGCTGAAGGAAAAGCTGGTTGGAAGTTCCAGGAACTGGAGATCAGATCCCTATGAGCTCATCCACAGGGATATTGATGTCATTGAGGATAATGATGGGAGTCAGGTTGGAGAAGAAGACCCAGAGCTTGGTGCTGAAGTAGTCAAAGAATGAGATGGTGATCAGATGATTTTAATCTGACATCCTTTCAAAATGAGCTAAGTAATTTCATGATAGTTTGCTTCACTGCATTTTTTGGGAGTTTCTGCTTTTAAAAAAGTGTGACTTATTAATTTTGAATGCTAGCTTTATTAAACACACAACTTTTTGAGTAAAGTGTGAATAGAGGGATCAAGGTCAGCACTTTTAAAAGGACTTTCCATGATGGTATCTGTGCTATAGGGTATAGTAGCAGCTAGCACACAAGGATTTGAAATGTGTGAGGAATTGAATTCAACTGAAGAATCAAACTTCCAATTTTACTTAATATGAAGTAATTTAAATTTCAGTAGCTATGATGTAATGCCAGAAACTGGAAAATTCTATCACCTGATTTTATTTTATATTGCTTGCTAACTTGATATATTTGAATTGACTTTGGTCCTCCTTTTTGTGATACTGAGCCACTGCCCTGACCTGCTGTAACTACAACCCCGAACAAGCCAGTATGTCCTTACCTTTATTATATCATCAAGCTCCTCCAGAGTCAGATGAGTTGTTGACAGGAAGTCCACAGATGCACTCAAAGAAGTGTTCACCACTCCCACCTGTTCCCCCACTCTCTCGTGTTGTTTCTGCAGGAAGGAAGAACAAGGGAGTGAGGAAGAGAATCTGTCTTTAGAGAACATGTTAGGGGGAGTGGTTAATACCAATCTGTTGTCTTTGGACTCCTACAAATCTGGGTTCATATCCCAGCACCGTCACTTAATTGATGTTCACCTTTCAGGAAAACTACCTGTCTGATGCTCGGTTTCCTCATTTAGAATATGGAGATAAGGAATATGCATCTTGGGAGAGTTAATGCCCTTGATGATAATCACCTCTAACATTATCCTCTCAAAGAGTTAGCACTCTAGAGAGGGCATTTGCCTCTTCTCTATAATATAAAATGGAACTGTAGATACAGGACTGAGTGCATGCTCTATATTTGCAGTAAGTGGAAAATGACTTAATTTAAAAAGCATTAATCATGTGCCAACTTTGGTTCTTGCACAAATAGTCCATTTGGATAGGAACAAAATATATATAATAGTTATAATCCAAGTTTCCCTTTAAAAATTAAAAATACTCTATCACCAAAGCATAAAATTGTGATCTTACTTCATATAATTCTGAACACCTTATGTTAAATGCTCAGACTTTTTGAGAAGGGGAGTTACAATACATTTTCTACTTTTACCTTTAGGTTTGAGAGGCAGTGATGTGATTCTACAGAATTACAAAGCTTTAAATGAGTTTGGTGTCTGAAAGCAACACAAAATGAGCTTTAGAATGAGAAGGTAAAAGATTAACATTATAATCTGAGTAAAAAGTGAGTTAGAAGTTACTTTAGAAACAATTTTAAGTGAAATAATTGTTAAGATGTAATCTAGGATAACATAGAAATAATTTCCTTCTGTAGAAGAAAATAGTCTAAAACTTTCTGAGTTCAAGACTGGGTGTGGTGGCTCATGCTTGTAATCCCAGCTACATGATAGGCAGATAGGAGGATCATGGTTCGAGGCCAGCCCAGGCAAAAAAGTTAGTGAAATTCTTATCTCAAAAAACAAGCTGGGAATGGTGGTCCAACCCTGTAACCCCACCTATGTGGGAGGCAGAGGTAGGAGGATTGAGATCCAAGGCTAGCTCTAGAAAAAGTGTGAGACTCTATCTGAAAAATAAATTAAAACAAAAAGGACCAAGGATTTGGCTTAAGTGGTAGAGCACCTGCCTAACAAGCATTTTTCTGAGTTCATCTTACTGTCCTTTCTTATTCTCTTCAGTTTTCCCTGATTTAACGAAAAGGAAGAATGGAACCCATCTTCTCCAAATACATTGTTAGAGTTAAGATGTAGGTGTAGAGACAGGAAAGAATCACATTTGAACTTCCTCTTAATGCAACAACACTAAAAAGAATCAATGTTCCCTCAATATCCATCAACCTAATGCAGTGTGACTACCTGCAACCAATTCTTATCTTCACAAGGAGAGGCTGTTATGTAGCACTACACAAAAGCAATAGTGTAAAATCTGTGTGTAATGGGAAGGAAATGAAGAAAGAATGGTATTATTTAGCTGCAATGTGCTGTTTTCCTTATATCTGGGTCACTCTAAGAGAATACTGCTAACACCCTGAAGTCATAGCTGAACTTCAAAGATGTGTGATCACAGCACTGTACAGTAAGTTATTCATAGTAGTTGGAAAATGTATGTGTTAAGGTAAAGGATCTCCCCCACTTATCATATATAGCATTAGAGAGAGGAATAAAATTAGTTTTGAAACAAATAAAAATATTCCCATAGAAACTGTCAACTTAAAAGAAAATTATGAAAGTTTAAAATAATATAACTATCAGTACAGGCTTTAGTGTCCATTTTACATATGCAAAAGAAAAATTTTCCTGATTCTAAAAAGGTGAAACAGTCCTGGGAAGGCAGAGCTTTGTTTTATAAGAATCACTAAACAGAGCCTTTTCCAGAATATTTAGCCTACTTAAAAAATATAGAATCTGATATTCATCAGATGAAGACTTTTGTCATTCTAGACTCCTTCAGGCAAGGAGAAGAATGACAACATAAATATCGTAATTATTAGTTGTGTGGCAACTTTTCCCCAAACCAGAGTGTTTAAACTATATGGGTTTTGTATAAAGACTGAAATTTTGGTGTTATTCTTTTTTGACCCATGCTGTAGTTTTAATTGCAAAATATGAAATCAAAATTCTTAAGTCGTTTTCTAAAGCACAAAAATAAATTCCAATAAAGTCAGATCCATTCAAATCAATTTATCGTAGGAAAGACTACTGTGTAAATGAAAGGTTGGGTTTAAAATTTTGTTGGAAGAAATTAAAGTTTTGTGACATTTAAATATACACAAGGTAGGCAAAGGAATGTTAATGGTAGTGTTTAGTACTTTGTCGGTCCAAGTTAATATCAAAGGAGCATTTTTTTTTCAGTACTGTAGCTTGAACTCAAGGCCTCACACTTGCGAGGCAAGCACTCTACTACTTGAGCCACTCCATCAGCTCTCAAAAGAGTTTTTATAATCAAGAACAACCAGATACACAAATCACATCTGGATTACACAAGAGTGCTCCATGCCCTTGTTCATCCATCTGTTCATCAACAAAATTAACATATGCAAGGTTTGTGTTAGGTGCTAGGAAGGTATAATTTGTGCAACACAGGAGACTGCCTTTTGGATGCTCATAATTTAGTAGGGATAGACTAGATGCATACCATACACATAAATGCGTGTGCACATACACTTACAGGACACACGTTACACATTCAGTAATTAATGTGCCTCTTAGACTGCACTACTTTTTTTGGGGGGGGGGCAATACTAGGGTTTGAACTCAGGGCTTGTGCTTGCTAGGTAGGCGCTCTACCAATTGAGCCACAGCTCAAGACCTCCTCTTAGACTGAAACACAGAATTAGGCCAAGTATGATGAAGCTTGGTGACCATTCCAGAGGTACAATAGATGGTTGTGTCAGTGTGGAGGAGGGATGGACTTCTTTTGGTGGTTAGGTTCTTAACCTGACACATCTGAACAAGTATACATGTTTTTTCATGGCATGTGCATGTGTGCATGTGTGTGTGTGTGTGTGTGTTCCCTTCTGAATTCTCAGGAGGTTATAAGACTTCAACAATGTATGAGTCACTGGATTCTAACAGGCAGGAAAGGCACTCTACAGAGAGAGCCACTTCAGGCTTAAAGGCTGGATAGAATTAAGCATAGATGATATAGATGGACAAACATGACTAAGAGAAACATGAAAAAATTCTACATGTTCTCCAGCAGCTGGGAGACAGGTTTTGTAGGGGAGACAAGAAATGTTGCTGGAAAGCAGGTGCTAGTGGCTCACACTTATAATCCTAGCTACTTAGGAGGCAGAGATTGGGAGGATTGCAGTTTGAAGCCAGTCTGGGCAAACAGTTTGTGAGACCCTATCTAGAAAATACCCAATACAAAAAAGGACTGGTGGAGTGGCTCAAGTGATAGAGTGCCTACCTAGCAAATATGAAACCCTGAGTTCAAACCTCAGTACCATTGAAAGAAAGGCAGAAAAGAAAGAAGGATCGCTGGAACCATAGGTGTGCTCACGACAGATGACTGGGTAATTTACCTTTCTTCACAGGAAGCCAGAGAAGGCCTTCAAAGGAGCTTTATTTACAGTGTCTACAGAACTAGAAAGATGCCTTGAGATGGGGTCTAGCAGTAATCAGAAGGTGAAAGAAGCCAGGAGCATAGGCAAGAGAAGCAGAGGGCTGGAGCAATCACTGATGACAGAATCCTTGAGGAGGAGGGATTGACTTAAGAGAATGGGGACTTGGAAGGGAGAAAAGCTGCTTTAACAGGAATGGAAAAATTAGGAAGGAGAATCAGTGGAAGAATCAAGAATGGGGAATTGTTGGAAAAAAAAGAGCTGTGTTTTTGGTGGGTAATAGCAGAGAACACCCATGTGGCTAGTCCTGCAGACAGACACCCATATGAAAGCTGTGCTCCGTTATGGATAAGGATGAAGACCTCCAAATTTCTTTCCTGGACTGAAGCTGTGACATGGGGTAAAGTCACTGAGAGAGGGAATGGGGGCAAAAGTGGTGGAGCTTTGGTTAAGGAAGAGGAAGGAGGACTGAGACAGAGAGGGCTTTAAAATGCCTCACGCTATGCTGTTCTTTCTTGAAATCTTGCTCATACTGTTCATTTGTTCTCAGTAGAGAGTTTGTTTAGCAAAGTTAAAATGAGGCCTACCATCTGTTTGAGTCACTAGAGTGCCAAATTCCTGGTATCCACATGCATGAGGTTTAAAAAAATTGTGCGTAAGAAAAGTTTAATTGAAAGCTATTTTGGCATCATCTATTCATTTAATTTGTTTTTAGAACTGAAGTCTCTTCATATGGTTAACACTGTCCATTCACTCCTTATTACATCCAGAAATTCCTGTGTGCCCTGACACACGCCATGCTATTTACCAGCCACTGACAAATCAGCTGGTTTGTATCTATGCATGTACTTTGGTTCTCAGTTCATTATATTTCAATCCCTTCCTTGTTATAGGCCTTATGAAGGACTTTTGATTACAAGACCCAGTCCTAAAAATGAATCAGTGAAGAACTGAGGATGTTAACACATGTGTTCTCTAGCATAGTTTGACAACCTCAATCTCAAATGAGAACCACATCTAATTTACAGTTCTAGTAATAATGGGTCCTACTTTTTCTCCATAATTCAACCTTACTTCCTGTGGCTAAGGAACCAGCTGTGATATGTCTGGGGTCTCCCATGTGCCATAGCTTGCTCTTGTCTGACAGGGACTATCTGGGTTGGCAGGTCCACCTCTCCCTTCAGGGCTTCCAGTACTGGTATCTTCATTTGTGACCCCCTGGAATTGTTGCATGAGTTTGCAGTACTGTTCTTCATTAAATCAACATTTTTATTCAACTATTATACTGTGTCAGGCATTGTGACAGATGCTTTAGGACTCAAAAATGAATAACAAATGATTCCCTGATGTTCTAGAGGCCCCCTGGAGTTTAGAGGGGAAGATAGCTACATTCCCAGAAGACAGCAATACAGAAAAGAGCTATGGGCAAAGCACTGCACAATTGGGAGACAAGGTGGTCTCTTGGGGGAGCTGGTGCCTGAGGGAAAACTTAAAGAATGAGTGGGGTTAGTCAGGTGAGGAGGAAAGAAAACGTGTGTGCACTTTTTTTTTTTTTTTTTTTTTTTGCAGTCCTGGGGCTTGAACTCAGAGCCTGTGCCAGATCCTTTAACACCAGAGGCACAGGCACACTCCAGCCTTTTTTTGCTTTAGTTATTTTTCAGATGCTTTTTGCAGTGATCCTTCTGACCTCTGTCTCCCTAGTAGTTGGGATTATAAGCATGTACCACCCACTGAGCCTGGAACAACTTCATTTTTATCAGAGTAAGAACCAAACAATTATCATGCTGTCAACTTGATTTTAGGTATACTCACGTACTTTAGTAATTTACAGCGACAAAAAATGTCATTACATCAAAAATATGACTATTTATACATCAGTGTTTAAGTGTTAAGTGTCTTTTGGTGTGACTTCACATTGTCTACACCTGACATGCAGTTAGTTACTGTCTACTGTACCTCGTGGTCCCGCTGCCTGGAGGCTGTGGCTCTGTTCATGTCTTCGGCATCCCTGACATGGTCAAGGGCTTGGTCTAGTGATTCCTGGAGGTCTGCCAACTTGGCACTGTAGTCATCCAGCTGCTCCAGGACCACAGGAAACAAAGAGCGCGTATCATTGTGCAGCCGCTGCCAGTTCTCAGCCTGGCTCAGCACTGGGAAGAAATGGAGACAGAAATTCAGCCTGGGCTCTCTGTCTACTCCCATTCCTCCAGCGTTTAGCAGAACAGAAAAATTTTCAGGCCCTCCTTCTTCAGTGATTGAGATTGAAGCCATGTTCACAAAATATCCCCCCATTTTACATTTGAAGAAGAAATGTTATTTTGTTGGATTTAGGAGCCCAATGGCCAATTAAAAGAAGGGTCTGATTTGTTTTCCCAAAGAGAGAGATTATTTTTCATTTTATGAGGAAACCACGTCATTGTGCCTTGCTTTTTGTTACCTAAATGATTAGTAATTTTATCCTGTAAGAAAGACTTGAATACAATGTGACTTTTTACATTACACCCAATATTATCTTGTCAGTAATAACGCAAAATGTTATATGCGCATAACTACCCATTTTCTGTGTTTTCTCCAGGCAACTGTGATCAGTTAGCGCCTTGATTCCATGATTTGGGGTGGAATAAAGATTAAATGACAATGATACGGTAGTCTTAAATCTTCTGTGTATGTGTCCTTCATTCTCTGCTCAAAAGCACATGTGTTGACTAGGGGGCTTACTTCTGTTTTTCTTCGGGGCATATCAATCTATTTTGTAGAATTTTTTCATTTTCTTTCATCACTATAAGAAGACACAAGTACATAGCTGAGTAAAGAAAGTGTTTGGAAATGCATTCACTGCATGGGGAGAGACTAACAGGGAGATGCCATTTCCCCAAGCAGTCTCGTTAAATTCCAGAGCAGGCAAGGAACTTGGGAGCATCTGGCTGTGACATTGCATTTCCAGCTTTTCTGACTGTTTCTGATGTTGGCCATTTTGCAATCTAGTGAAACCTTCAGACTCCTTCTTACAATGTGTTTTAAAATACATAAAATAAAATATGTAAAATTTCAAAGGTGATCAGTATATTAAAAAATCAAATTGGTAGTATCATAGTATATGTGCTTCTCTGTTAATGCATAAAATAACAAGATCTGGAGATGAATCCAATAACTAATTTTGACTATTGATGAATCATTAAAAGATATTATCAGCAGCTAAAATATGGTATGCAAAGCTGTGGTTTCTTTTTTAGACTATGTAGATTAAAATGAACACAATTCTTTGCAACTCTTCCCATCAAGAATGGAACCATCTCTTTGCCCTTTGGATCTGGGCTAACCTTGACCAATAAAAGGGATATGACATGGTTGAGTTTGGAGGTCTCAAGAGACCTTGTACTTTCCATTCTGAAGGCCACCTTACCAGCCTAGCCTTCTCAAGGGTAAGAGGCCCAACCTTCTTAGCTAACCCTATATATGAGTGAGATTAGTACATGCCACATGGAGCAGAGATGACTATCCAGGTTGAGTTCAGCCTAAATTGCCAACCCATGAAACCATGAGCAAATAAATAGTTATTGTTTTAAATGAATACATTTGAGGTGGATTGGTAGATAGTGATTGATTAATTGATACAGTGACCAACCAAGTCATAAATCAGTAATACTACCATAGTCTGATGTCCATATTTCTCATTAAAGGAAATGCAAAATTTCCGTTGGAGGTTAAAAATTATTGCAAGCTTTTTAGGGTCCTCAGAACATGACTGTTTGCTGGGCTTGTAGTATTTCTGCCTTTTCAGTAAACTTTCTCTTGCTGTAGCTTTGGGATTCAGTGGTCTTTAGCTTTCTTTTCCCTATTTTATATGTTTTCACCAATTACTAAGTCTCTATTTCTTCCCAATAGGAGTAAAAATTCTGTAGCTTCATTGTGGAATCTCAGCTGTTTTTAAGGGTGCAAAGTTGAGCTGGATCTAAAAATCTTAGTCTTATAGTCAAGGTTCCCTGAATGATCCTTCAGAGGCTATGTATTATAATTATATGTTGCTTGGTTGCTTGGAATATTGAGACTTGGTTGCTTGACCAAACGTTGCCCTTTTGCTTGCTGTTTTTTCCTGGCCCCACAAATAAAGCAGGTGTGTGCTGGGACAGCCCAGAGTTGAAGACACCTACGTTCCTGGGCCTCATCAGCTTCCTCATCCACAAGCTCCCTCTGGGTGAGGAATGGTGGACGACGTCGAATCTCCTCAACCATCTTCTGGGCCAACACCAGCTTCTCGGTAATTTCCTCAGGGCCCAGTTCCTGCTCCTCCCCATAATAGAGCATCTTGTTGTTGATCTCTGAAAGGAAGAACACAGTAAAACAGGAGCAAGGGGAGGGAATGCTGCAGATATAGGGTGAGGGCTGGTGGGCAAAGCACAGGGCTGATCCTGCAAAAGAGAGATAGGCTCAAGTCTCTATTTCTTCCCAATAGGAAAAAATTCTGTAGCTTCATTGTGGAATCTCAGCTGTTTTAAGGGTGCAAAGTTGAGCTGGATCTAAAAAATCTTAGTCTTATAGTCAAGGTTCCCTGAATGATCCTCAGAGGCTATGTATAATTATATGTTGCTTGGAATATTGGACTTGGTTGCTTGACCAAACGTTGCCCTTTTGCTTGCTGTTTTTTTCCTGGCCCCACAAATAAAGCAGGTGTGTGCTGGGACAGCCCAGAGTTGAAGACACCTACGTTCCTGGGCCTCATCAGCTTCCTCATCCACAAGCTCCCTCTGGGTGAGGAATGGTGGACGACGTCGAATCTCCTCAACCATCTTCTGGGCCAACACCAGCTTCTCGGTAATTTCCTCAGGGCCCAGTTCCTGCTCCTCCCCATAATAGAGCATTCTTGTTGTTGATCTCTGAAGGAAGAAACACAGTAAAACAGGAGCAAGGGGAGGGAATGCTGCAGATATAGGGTGAGGGCTGGTGGGCAAAGCACAGGGCTGATCCTGCAAAAGAGAGATAGGCTCATTCAAACCTAGCGCTAGGGCCATGCCGAGAACACTGGTGTTGGCATCTGAGCTCATCACATGTTCCAAGGAGGAGGAAAACCCTGGGAAACCATGCTGTTTCCTGTACAGTGTCTTCAAAATGGAAACGGGGTGGTATGTAGCCTGCTGTATTTTCATCCTCATCTTTGTTCCACAGCAATTCAAAATGCTAATATTTAAGCCACAATAATTTGGGGTCTCTGATCAACCTTTTATAGAAATACTTAGGGCAAATGTTCAGAGGCCTCTCCTGTCATACGTGGGCTGTATTGGAGGGGGTATGAATTGTATTTTAGCCAAGGATTTAACAAAACAAAGCCCTAAAGCCAAAATGAGAGCATACTGATAGTTGTCCAAATGAGTCTTTCGGATTGTTTTCCAGACAAACTATAAAATGGTGGTTTGTTATAGTGTGATATGAGTTTTTAATCATGAATAACTATTTTTCTGGCAACTTTATTTGCCTTCTGCAGTGACTGCTTGACAAGATTGGGCCATTTTGACTCTGAGTCTTTTCATCCCCTTTCTATAAGTAGGTGGAAGATTTTGGAGCCAAGGGGACCACTGAGGGTCAGAGGGATTAGGTGGCTTGTCTAAATGTTAGCATGCCGAGCTGCATGCAAAGCTGGCATAGTTCTCTGACTCTCTCATTCTTACTACGTGTGATCAGAAGAAAGGGATGTAATTACTACCTTGTCCCACGGAGCTCCAGGAGGAAGCATTTTATCTTCCTGGCATAAATGAAATTGTGTGTCTGTGGTTTACGATGATCTATGTGGTTGGCCAGACAAGATGGGTAAACAAACACTGGTGTCATATAAATCACACCAGGAAAAGGGGTTGTATTTTATGTGGATAATAGCTTGAAGGTCACCAGCAGCTATTTTAGAGATAGTTGGGAATGAGAAATGCACACCTATTGGGTGTACACGCATTCCTGAATTCTAAAGGAAGGAAGGTGTTTTTTGGGGGAGAAATTTGTAATACCATAAATCTTACTGAGAGAGTTATAGGGAAATCAGGATATGCTAAAAAAAAAAAACTATCAAGGGATAGTTTTTTCAAATAAAGTCTAAAATATTAACCCTCAAAATAAACTAAACATAGGTATTTTTCTTAAGCTCTACGACTCGCAATACTGAATTATTTTACATTTTGATATAAATATCATGCCGTTTTATTTTAGCTATGTCTGGTATAGATTAGAAAAAGGAAATACAGACAATAACATTTTTACTTTGGTCTTTGGAGATTATTCCTACATTATTTTAAAGAGATTAAAAACTTACAAAGGTTACTGTTTCTCATTTACATTTCTTTTGTATTTTTAAAATGCTTTCCCATGACTAAGGGTCAAATAAGACAGTTTGGATTCTTTCAAAAGAAACACCTTAGAGTCAAAATTTTGGTTATGAAACAGTGAAGGTAAAGTATGTTTTCTGAATGGTTTACTATGCTCCTGGCTTTATTTGCTGCCTAAAGGGGTCATTTAATCTTCTAGGCTCAGTCTTACTGTTTGAGCAAGTCAATAGTAACTCTAACATGCTGTTAGGAATGGAGGAAAAGAATATTTTATCAGTAAATGCAAAAGTGTGAAATAGTGAGGCTGGGAGTAAAACGCATCCCATTTGATTTTATTGTATATTACAGACACCAAAGGAAATGTAGCAAATGATGAATGCTGGCTTTATATATCTTTTGCTTGGAATACGCCCCTGACATCAGTGTAAGGATATGAATCTCCCACTCTGGGTCCTTTTACTGTCATTGTGCCCTGAGATGCACTTGGTGTTGTCATCCAGACCTTAATATATAGTATAATAAAAAACTATGGAGGCACAAATACAAATCTTAGCAGAGTCCAACCAAGGAAAGTCTCTTTATTTTAGAACAAATGCAATCTCTTTCTGTTAGAAAATCAAAAGTGGCTTTCAGTGCTCTATTAAGATAGTCCTCAAGATGCAGTCTGCAGTTAGCACAAGTTAGAGCACAAGTAAGTGAACCTCCAAGGGGAAGGTGGAGCATCAGTGTTTTAGGGCAAAGGAATCTCACACAGCCCCTCCTTCCTTATCTTTGAGTTGGAGACCTGAGTGATTTCCCTACCTGGTCCTTGGGGAAGAGTGACACAGAAATAGCTTATGACGATTTGCATCTGTTTACTACCATTCTAATTGCAATTGTTTATCTGTAAATAACCTAGAGAAAACAAAAATCAAAAAAAACCTCCCACCGAACTCTTGCAGTTTAGAGACACCATAGCATACAATTTCCTCTGCTAGAAAAGCATCCTGGCATTAAACTTTGGTAAAATGCCTGGAAAGGAAATGATTTGGGACATTTATTCTTGACCAATAAAAGATAATAAATAGGCACAAAGACTCAGAAATTCTAGATAAACAAACTTGAGTTGAGGACCTTATGTAAGTTAAGACCTGTAACCCGCTTAACAAGTTTCTGGCCCGTGGTAACTACCGACAGTAGACATTTGTTTTTACTGTTAGTAATCTGGTGTAGTTTCCTTGACATTAAGTTGAATTCAGAGAGAATGTATTTACCTTGGATTTTATCCCTCATATTGTGTGCTTGCTCTACAAGCTTAGTTGCGTGCTCTGTGGTATCCATGCTTTCCTTCTGAACCAGAGGCCCCTTTCTTGAAGCTTGACTTCCCTACAAAGAATATGAATAAACACTAGATCAAATTTACAAGAAAGGAATGCTCTGAGGGGTAGTAGGGGTGGGTGGGCATATTGTACTCATTTCACAAACATCAATTTTCCTGTCATGTAAAAATTCTATACCATATAGACTGGTCCCAGAAGTCATGCACAAAGGTTGAGTGACGATCGTTCTTAGAATTATAGGATGCTATAAAATCAGATGCTGTTCCCAGGCCATCAGTCACAGTTCAGTCCAAACCAGCCACCTTTCATCTGAAATTTATTCTTTGAATTTTTGCTGTATCTCTAGATGCCAGACTAGGGTATGGCTCATGTCTTCTGGTGAGTTTGATGTTGTACCAATTGAAGAGCTTAAAGTTTCAAGAGAAAATTATCCAGAGAGAAAGCAGGCAGACCTTGAAATGCTCACTGCGTCCAGTGCTTGTGGGTGGTCCAACCTCTAGTGAAACTGAATTACCACAGAGACTTAAAGGATTGTGCTCACTGGGCTCTGTGCTGTTTCCCGAGCTTTCTTCCAGCTCCCATCAATGTTGAAGGCACTTGTGTTCAAATAACTGTGCAGGCAGATTCGGTGCAGTGAATGGGGCGCCTCCCTGTGGGGGCTGATCCCACTCCAGTTCAGAGAGAGTGGACGCTTCTCTTTCAGAGCTCCCACACATTTGTCAGCATTAAATCCCATCCCCACTGTGGCTTCTGAAGAAAGGGGGTGGGGGCTGTATGTCTATGTGTGTGTGGCCTGGGACAGAAGCTGAGCTAAGAGCCAAGAGACATGGTTCAAGGCCAGGACACTGCCTGTGTGAACAACACTGGATGGGACGAGGTGGGGGGCATACTTCCTTTCAGCGTTAGAAAGACAGATTTCTGGGTTATCTTTAAAAAAGGAGGGGGAATCTTGCTTGCCTTTTCTGGTGCTTTCCTCCCTGGATCAGCTCTGTCACAGTGCTGCTGTGGTTGCATGGACCAGGCTAGTCTGCCACTTGGTGAGCTGGTAGACCATTGTGCAGCTGCCCCAGGATGGGAAACGGTAGTTCCAAGTTTCATGCGGCGTTCTACCTAGAGGTAGGACTTTAGGCATGATATGGCCTGGAGTGTTTTTACTCTTTCCAGGTATAACTCAAGCAAGAAGCTCTCTATGATTGCCCAGGAAGAGAATGTAGCAATGACATCATGGCAAGCATGTGCCTGGAGGCTTTCTATTGACAAGTCAGTAATCCCCTCAAAGCAGGGTTGCTGGAGTCCTGAAGACCCTGTGCAGCCACCAGTCTCTTCATAAGTTGTAGACTCCCTGTCCCTTCTTCTGAGTCATTGTGTCCCTTTCCCTAATTCCAGTCTTCATCTTGGCTTGTGCTAATGCTTTCCAGAGAAACCATATTTATGATCATTTAAAAATTAGATGATGCATAAAATAAAATGAATCCCTTTTTTGGTTCTGGTGATCCAACTTGTGCATGCAAGGCCAGTACTCTATCATTGAGCTAAACCTCAGTCCTGATTCTTATTGTTGATACCATCCCTCACTGCTTTTAAAAACTATGGACACACTTTTAAGCTAGGTGCAGCAAGTCACAACTGTAATTCTAGCTACTTGGGAGGCGGAGATCAGAAGGATTGTAGTTCAAGGCCAGTCTGGGCATGGGGAAGGAGTGAGGTGGAGAGGAGGGAGTTCTCCAGACCCCATCTCAACCAATAAAAGTTGGCTGTGGTGATGCTTGCCTGTCATTCCAGCCATACAGAAAGCAGAAATGGGAGGGTTGTGGTCCAGGCTGCCTGGGCATAAATGTAAGACCCTATCTGAAACAATAACTAAAACAAAATAAGGCTGAGGGTATGGCTCACGTGGCAGAGCACCTGTCTAACAAACCTAAGATTCAAACCCCTGTACTGCACAATAAATAAATAAACAAATATGGACCCCAAATATGGTATGCTTAAAAATTTTTTAAACACGTTCATATTTGATGATGTTTAAATACAGTTATGCTTATAAAGCACAAGATTCATTTTTTACTCAGACTTCATCCTTCACGGGAAAGATCCACTGTTATTTCTGTCATTATTTTATTTTTTTGTGTGGGACTTGGGCTCAGAGCTCCGGGTTTCCAGCTGACAAAGCAGGTGCTCTACGTGAGCCACACCTCCAGTCCATTTTGCTCTGGTTATTTTGGAGATGGGTTCTCAAGAACTATTTGCCTCAGCTATCTTCAAGCTACAAACTCCCGATTTCAGCCTCCCAAGTAAGTTAGGATTACAGGCGTGAGCCACCAGCACCAGGTCATTAAACTGATTTTTGATGCAGAAACTGAATTGGTTAAAATAGCTAGAGGATGCCACAGCTAGAGAAAACCTCTTCTTTCTGATAAGCGCCAGAGGGCGCTGTGAGATATGAGGTGGATGGATAGAGATCTATACATACATAAATGAATATCAAATAAGAGCCAGTTTATAGCAAAGGAGAACATTAATTACTTTAAATTGTAAAATTACTGAACAATGCAGTACATGGTAATATCTTGTCTGCATTTTTTTTTCTGTAACTTTGCTTATGGAAGGAAAATAATGATGGTAAAACAGTTGTTTTTTGCTTTAAAAAGCTAAAGTTAAAAAATTACCCCCAACAACTATAAATTTGTTGTTGGTTTACATCTCAAAGGATTAACTTTACTCACCTCAATAGTGAATTTTCCTTAAACTTATTTGATACAAAAAAAGTGGCAAGGCTTTTGGACTAATACAGTCCATACAGGGTACTGTACTTATTAATTTACAGAACATCAGCCAGATTAAGTGAGATGACAACCAATACATAGGATGACCAAGATTTTATTGTTTAAACTGGGATTAATTACTCTGGGATACAAGTATAAATGGGAACAGTAGTAGGAATGCTGAGGGGCTATTTCAGAATCTGAGTGGCAATGTCTATTTCAGTGGCTTATCTCCCTTTAACATGACTCCCAACTATCTTTCTGTTCCTGATCTGTCTTCTGAGCTGCAGACCAATCTCTAACTGCCTCTGGGCATATGCAGATACCTCACTCTTAAAATATCCAGAGCAATCCAGTCTGCATTTTTAGTCTTAGTCATCTGTGTCTCTAAGATAGAGCTTTCTTCGTTGTTCCTCCCAACCTCTAAGTGGTCCTCAAGTCTATTTTATTCTACTTGTCCTTCTGGCTTCTCTTCCTTTTTCCCCACTTCCACAGTTTTGGTCCATCCCTGTTCGCTATAAATGCTTGTCAAGCGAAGGCAAGACAGCAACCAACCACTCCTTTGTCCAAGCCTATTGTGGCAGTCTCCCTATTGTGCCCCATCCTGGAGTCTTTATCCACACTGCATAGGATGTTTCTGCACATCTGATTGGCTGTTTCTGGGTGAACACTTCATTGACTTCCAAAGTCCACAGGATGCATCCGGATGTTCCTGGCATGTGGCACGATTCTTCATGATCTTGCCACTGACATCGTCAGCATTATATACTACTACTTTCCTTAACAATTAATTTTCTTCAAGATCAATTCTTCTAGCACCAAAACCACAGAATGTTGTTTCACATCCACTCTTCCCTTGCTTGAAAGTTCTTGACAAACTCCTAGTTATTCTCAATACAAAGGACAATACTCATCTTCTTTGGAAGATTTCCTAATGAGAGAATTCACTATTTTCTCCTTTAGCCTATACGAGGCCTCTTTACTAAATGGGTGTCATAGTTATTTTAGCACAGTAACTGTTATACAAGGCATAAGTAATAAGCAAGCCAAGTAATGCCTTTGGAATAGAAACTCTTCTTCTCCTTCATCTTCTTCTCCTTTCACTCTTCTTTCTCCTTCTTCTAGTTATTTTAGCACAGTAACTGTTACATACAAGGCATAAGTAATAAGCAAGCCAAGTAATGCCTTTGGAATAGAAACTCTTCTTCTCCTTCATCTTCTTCTCCTTTTCACTCTTCTTTTCTCTTCTTCTTCTTGCTCCTCCTTGTTCTTCTTCTCTTTCTTCCCCACCTCCTTTATCCTCCTTTTTGGTGGTAGTGGCATTGGACTCAGGGCTTTGCACTTGCTAGGAAAGTGCTTTCCCACTTGGGCCACACCCCTCAGTCATTTTTTGCTTTAGTTTATTTTTCTGATAGGGTCTCAAGTTTTTCAGGGGCCAGCTTTGGGCTGAGATCCTTCTACCTTAGCCTCCTGCATAGCTGGGATTATAGATATGCATTACCACACCCAGCTTATATATTTCTTTTCACCTTGTATTTTCGGCAGGATCAGTGAGGAGACTAAGATACTTTGATGTATTTCTCTTTCAGAGAGAAATACATTGTGTGTTTGCTCAAGTTGATATAAGGGAGTTTTTGCTGTGGCTGATGGAGCAAGGAGGAGAACAGAGATGGAGGAGAGGGAGAAGCAGAGGGGATGGTATAGCATTCTATAAGCCACTCTTGAAGTCTGGGCTCTGTAAATACAGGCTCTGAAGTGGACCCCCAAGACCCAGACAGTGAAGAGCAGCACTGAGATTGTGAAAGAGCTACCATCCCCACCTCTGCTTGTAGCCCATCACCACTCTGACTTGAGCATGGTGGCTTTGGAAACATAGGAGAGTGGAATCTTAACACGGTCATGGTATTTTATTATCAATGTGATCAACAGGGAGACCTTTTGGAGACTGACTGTGATCACAGATTCATCGGTGGGAGAAAAGGCCTCTACTATTTTTCAAATCGGGGATTGAAGGTCTTGGATATGGACATTGGCACAAAACCAGTGAATATAATTTGTGAGATTTGGGTCATAAGGTGACTCATGCAACACATAATTCACAAACAGAGGTATTACTTGTCAAACTCAAGAGGCAACACCAATGTGACTTTGGTCAATGTGGAAACATACAATGAAATCCCTCACTCTACTTAATGCCAAATACTAGTTACTTTCTTGACAGAAGGATATCTAAGGCAAAACGTTCCTTAAATCCTTCTGAGAATCAATCATAGGCTTTTCTAAACTAAGGGCTTGGAGGGTGCTTGAGAAATCATTAGGACCAGCTCTGGGCATTTGTTTGAAATGTTTCAGCAGGCTCTTGTGCCACCAGGACTGTTATATAGTCACATGTTATTTTCAATAAGAACTGATGAAAACAGCTGGGTGAAAGTTCTAGCAGTTTTATCACCAGCCTCCCACTTTGGTGGTCTGTTCTTGTTGTCCAGGAACCTTTTCTACTGGGAGTCACTTTCAAGTTTGCATTATTTCCTGCCCACGAAAGCCTGCATTTAACTTATATTAGAAGCAGGAAAACTTTACAACAAAAGGGCCAGTAACTCTGTCTGAATTGTGGGAGGAGCTAATCTGCATGAAAACATTTCCTCAAGAATTGAGATACTTTTGACAAGGTCCAACCATGACATCCAAATGAATTAACAATGAGCTTTCACAAAGATTTCTTTCTTGGCATTTCCCTTGAAACTTAAGAGATTTCACTGCTCTTTAATGCTAGCGGTTGTTAATATGTGCTATTGCACGAGAACTAGGGATAATTTTCATATGTATTTTAAAGTATGTGAATCTTCCAAGGGTGCAATTAGAGTAATTTACATCTTTAGAAGTATAATCTTGTTAAAGTTTAGGAGTTCTAAGGTCAAAAGAGAATGCCAGAGTTAGTTTAACTTTATTTATTTTATTAATTTTTTTTTTTTTTTGCCATGCTGGGGACTGGATCTTGCATGCCAGGCAAATGCTCTATCAATAAGCTACACCTCCAGTCCTATTTTTCATAGAAAATAAAAATTGTCTTGACAAGAGTTTTGACAGTTTATGGTGCTAAACACCGGAGTCCAAAGGCAGCAGCTCCAGAGTTCATGGGCCAGAACTGGTGGAGCTTTATGAAGAGAAAAAGTGTTAAACAGGCTGGCCTTGAAATCTTGATCCTCCTGCTTACAGGTGTGTGCCAGGACAGCCAAGTGTTAAACATTGTAATGCAATAAATATCGTGCCTCGTGACTTAGCTTGTATTTTTTGAGTAAAGTGGAGTAAGGATGGATATTTGTCCACTAGTCTCGTGGGGAGTGTATTAAGTAGTCTCTCATATTGATTCTGCTCATATTTCAATGTTTTTCTTGTTCATCTATGGGAAATTTCACGAGTCTTGTTTCCCTCAACGTTTTTCTCAGTGTGTTTGACTTTTTGTTTATTTAGTTGTTTACCTGGTTATTTGAACTTTTGTCTTGTCAAACCATTATCTCTTTTTATTGTAATACTTTATACCATACATAAATGTGTTGTTATTTCCTTTGGAGGTTTAATGATTATTTAGCTCTATTTTTTATGGAGTTGAGATTTATAATCCACTTTTTAATCTGTCTGGGATTTATTTTAGTCTATGGTGTAAAGTGAGGGTTAAAAGTAACTTTGTTTTTGACAACTTGCAAAATTGCTTCTTAGCACAATTCCTTTTTTTCCCTTTTAGTGTTTAATGCATCCTTTAGCAAACATTTAAAGTTTATATTCTACATGATAAAATATATTTCTGGATGTACTATAGCTCTTACTCACAAAATGCTAAGACAAACAGCTGAATAACTACCCTAATTGTAAAAATATATGGATTGTATTAACCAGTAGCAAATACAGGGAAACTTCCCTGTAAGTATAGTTTCTCAACAGAAACTATCAAAATGGGAAGAGATTATCAGAGATGTCATATATTAACTTTCTCCATGGATCTGCTCTTGATTTGTTTTAAGGCACATGAGTTACTATATTTTTTCTCAGCTGTGTTAACCCTTAGCCATTTGTGGCTAGCCAGGATCACACCAGGTAAACTCCTGCTTTGAAGGCAGGCCCAGAAACTGAACACATACCTTTCCAGCTAATTCTTCCATATCAGACAGAAGGCTTTTCATTGTATTCTCAGCACTGTTGATTTGTATCTTCCTTAGAACATACTGGTTTTCTCTTTCTAATAATTTTGTCTGTGGGAAAAAAGTATTTTAGAAATTATCAGTAGATATGTATACCAGGTTTTAAAAACTATATACAAAACCCTTTAAATATAGGAGGATTAGAGATAGAGTGTGACCTCTGTTCTCAATAGTGGGTCCACAGGCTGCTATGAAGAGGGAGTTCATAGCAGGGAACCAAGGCTCCTGGGGCTGAAAGTCTGTGAACTACACTCAGTAGTTCACAGATGCTGGCCTGGGGCTGGGCTAGTCATGGAGAAAGGACACCTTCTTCAATTGATACAAAGGCATAATATAGGCTAGTGATGGTGCTAGGTGACTGAGCTTTAAAATTTCAATCTGGTCAGGGTTTAGAGGAATGGATCAACCCATGAGGATCAATGAAAATGAACTTTAGAAACTCACTTTCCTCCTTTTGGTATAAAGAGAGCAGCTGTCTTTATTTTAGCCCACTTGCCCCCTTCTTTTGCATTTTTGAGAAAGTTAGTTTAATTGTAGCTGTTCCTTGGCTACTTTGGATTAAGTCCTTCAATCTTGGCATTGACTTCCTGTCAGCTATAGTGATAACCCATTTTGAGGAAGGAGAAGTTGAGTGCCATGGGTTGGCCTGTGTCTGAGTGACTCCCTTGAGAATTAGTGCCATCATGTGTTCAAGCAGGGTAGTTTGAACAACAGCAATTCCTAAATTTGGAATAGAATGGTCACTAAGATTCCATCCAGCAGTACAATTTTATGATGTTTGTTTTGGTTTACACTGCATGTTTTTGGTTGGTTGCTGTGGATATCATTTGTGCCTCCAAAAAGTAATGAGCATTTACTGTGCCCTGTGCTGTTCTATTTGGTTTATATTTCTCAATTCATTGAATTCTCTCAACAACCCATGAAACAGGTGCAATAATGTCCTCATTTCTAGATGACAACACTGAAGAATAAAAAGGTCAAATAACCTACCCATGGTCACACAGCAAGTGTCAGAGCTTAGCTATGAAACAAACAATTTTATTTAAGGTTTAACTTGGCTAACAAAGGAAAAATGGTGTGCTGATTTTTTTTTTCAGAAAACTATATTGTTTGTAAAAATATCTATTGGTTGTGATAGAAGTCCATAACATAGGAGAGGAGCCTCTTAAAATTTCAGTAATATAAAGACTGCCTTAAAACTTATAGCCAACATATCCTTAATGGAGAAAAATTGAAAACATTTCCCCTAAAATCAGGAATGAGACAAAGATGCCCACTATCCTCACTTCTATTCAACAAAGTCCTAGAATTCCTAGCCAGAGAACTTAGGCAAGAAGAAGAAATAAAAGGAATACAAATTGGTAAAGAACTGTCAAAATATCCCTATTTGCAGACGACATGATCCTATAGCTTAAAGACCCAAAAACTTTATCAAAAAACTCCTAGACACCATAAACAGCTATAGCAAGGCAGCAGGATACAAAATCAACTTACAAAAATCATTATCTTTTCTATACACCAATAACAAACAAACTGAGAAGGAATATATGGAAACAATTTCATTTACAATAGCCTAAAAAAACATCAAATACCTAGGAGTAAATTTAACAAAGGATGTAAATGATCTCTACAAGGAGAACTACAAATCTCTCAAGAAAGATCGAGGAAGACTACCGAAGGTGGAAAGATCTCCTGTGCTCATGGATTGGTAGAATCAACATAGTAAAAATGGCTATATTACCAAAAACAATCTACATGTTTAATGTAATTCCCATCAAAATCCCAATGACATTCATCACAGAGATTGAAAAATCTACCTTGAAGTTCATTTGCAAACAGAAGAGACCTAAAATAGCCAAGGTAATACTCAGCAAAAAGAACATTTTTGGAGGTATCACAATACCTGACTTCAAACTATATTACAAAGCAATAACAATAAAAACAGCATGGTACTGGCACAAAAACAGACATGAAGACCAGTGGAACAGAATAGAGGACCCGGATATGAATCCACACAGACATGTCCACCTTATTTTTGACAAAGGTGCCAAAGATATACGATGGAAAATACAGCCTCTTCAACAAATGGTGCCGGGAAAAGTGGTTATCTGCCTGCAAAAAACTGAAACTAGATCCATGTTTATCACCCTGTACTAGTATCAACTCAAAATGGATCAAGGACCTTAATATTAGACCCAAAACTCTGAAGGAAAGAGCAGAGAATACTCTGGAAGCAGTAGGTATAGGCAAGGACTTCCTCAATAGAACCCCAGCAGCTCAGCAACTAAGAGAAAAGATGGACATATGGGACTACATAAAATTAAAAAGCTTCTGTACAACAAAAGAAATGGTCTCTAAACTGAAGAGACCACCCACAGAGTGGGAGAAAACATTTACCAGCTATGCATCAGACAAAGGACAGATAACCAGAATATACAGGGAGCTCAAAAACCTAAACTCCCCCAAAATCAATGAACCAATAAAGAAATGGGCAACTGAACCAAACAGAACTTTTTCAAAAGAAGAAATTCAAATGGCCAAAAACACATGATAAAATGCTCATTATCTCTGGCCATAAAGGAAATGCAAATCAAAACCACACTAGGATTCCACCTCACCCCTGTTAGAATAGCTATCATCAAAAACACCACCACCAACAGGTGTTGGCGAGGATGTGGGGAAAAAGGAACCCTCATACACTGTTGGTGGGAATGGAAGCTAGTGCAACCACTCTGGAAAACAGTATGGAGGCTTCTTAAAAATCTAAACATAGATCTGCCATATGATCCAGCAATCCCACTCTTAGGGATATACCCAAAGGAATGTGACTCAGGTTACTCCAGAGACACCTGCACACCCATGTTTATAATGCAGCACTATTCACAATAGCCAAGTTATGGAAACAACCAAGATACCCCACTACTGATGAATGGATTAAGAAAATGTGATATTTATACACAATGGAGTTTTACTCAGCCATGAAGAAGAATGAAATCTTATCATTTTTCAAGTAAATGGATGGAACTGGAGAACATCACACTGAGTGAGGTTAGCCAGGCTCAGAAGACCACCCTTCCTCATATGCTGACTTTAGATCTAGGGCAAATGCAGCAATTTGTTGGACTTGGGTCACACGCTAAGGGGAGGGCACATATGGGAGGAATGGGGATAGGTAGGAAACCCAAAACTTGAAAGTGTTTGATGTCCCCACTGCAGAGGAGATAATACGGTAACTTTAAAGTGACAGAGGTCAATATGGGAAGGTGACCTGGAAGTAGTAAAGAGGACAGGTAGAGATGAATCAATTCGGGTTGTAATACACTTATGCATGGAAGCAATGCTAGGAATCTCTCTTTGTAGGTATCCTTAGCTCAACTAGCAAAAACACTATGTCTTTCTTATTATTGCTACGCCTTCTCTTTAACAAAATTAGAGAAAAGGGCAGAACAGGTTCTGCCTGGAAGCAAGGGGTGGGGGGCAAGGGAGGGGGTGGGGGGGAGGGAGGGGATGGGGGGAGGGAGGTGATGGGGGGACAGGGGGGAGAAATGACCCAAACAATATGCACATGTGAATATATGAATAAAAAGGGAAATAAAAGGACTGTCTTAGTCTGCTATTTTTTAAAATACTCTGTCTTTAACTTGCTTATTTGATAGAGCTATGAGGGAAACAGATCGTGGTGTGTGTGTGTGTGTGTGTGTGTATTAACAGTTTGGAAAAATGAGAGAGAACATGTATAAGTGAGAAGGAAAGGTTGGGGAGAGAAAAAGAGAAAGAAGAAGGTTTCTAGAGAAATTCCTCAAATTGTGCAAATTGAAGCTAAGCTGTAATGGTAGATTTGTGGAAATGACTTGAATAACTAATGTATGGTTTCACATAGGAAATAGGAGGATACCTCTTCACTTAATAGTTTCATACATAGATACTAGTCTTTTAGTCATTTCATTTTCCAAATAACCTCTTTTACAGATGGCAGCTCCTGAATGGGCCTGAAGCTCGTGGTTATAATCAACTTTTCCTAATTTCCTATGAAACTTTATTACATATGTTAGACTTACAAGACCAACAACCTTTAATACAGCATTGGGCTCAGACACCAAAAGAAGTTGCTAGGAGTGACCCTGTGAAACCAGAGTGAAAACACAGCCTAAGATACAACACTCCTGCATACTTTGAGGAGGTAGATGGTGGAGTTCATTTCATTCACGTGTCTATGTGCAGCAGCGCCCGATGACACGCTCAGCAGCCCGGATTTGCTTTCCTCGATGGACAGTGCTGCTAACCGCAGGTCATCGGTCAGGTCCCAGATGCACTTGTCACAGCCTGGAGGTGAAAAAGGCGTGTCATTTCTCCAGAACCAAAAGTCAGCCTAGAAGCTTGTTGCTTTAAGTAGATTATGAATGTGCAGTTCCTTGGTTAAACTATGTTTATTTTTATTTCCTGAGGAACAGCTCTGGGCCACAGACTGGTCCTTCCACCAGCCAAACTGCACACCAGGCACTATTCCCACTTTAGGCATAATGAAAAGCAGGCGACAAGGGAAGATCAACACGAACACTAACTGCTGAGTTGATAAAGGAAGCATTGGGATGCGTGGGCTTCTCCTGAGTCCCTGCCCATTTTTCCTTAGTGGTGGGGAAGCCCCCTGGGATGATTCTCTTGTTTTCAGGCTTGGTCTATTGCTTGGTAGCAGCTAGTGAAACAAGCTATTGGCCAGGCACCTTTCCTTCCCTCTTAGCTTTTCTCAGCATTCAGGTGCTAGCACCTGCCTTGCCTCACCTAGGGAGGGCTCTCCCATCTTCTGTGAGATGAGCACTTCACCGGGAGTTGGTCTACAGGGCATCACTGTGAATAATGTGCCCTGATCTCTGAGGTGTCAAAGTTCAGGCAGAATCTGGGGGGAGAGGGAAGCATGGACCAGTTTCTCATTGCTCCTCATCTTAAGTTCCTCTGATCACTGTGATCAGCCCTGGGACCCAGTGGCCCTCACCCCTTACCCCCACCTTTACAACTTGCCAGTTTCCAAGCCCTTTCTCTCAGGTTGTGCTCTTGGAGAGCTGGTAAGCCCAGTCTGCAGGGTTAATGGCTGTTAATATGTTAATTTGTTATTTGAAGGTTAACATGGTATTACTAACAAGCTCTCTCAGGTAATGAGTTCCCAACCAGTACATCAGGCTGTTGGGGGAGATGCTTAGGGCGAGGTGTCCTTAAATGAGCACCTAGATGAGCACTAGTTGGCCAGGGGACCATCTAGCTACCATTGTGCAAACTTTGCCCTGCTTGTGCCTCACATCTTGGCCCTCTTCTATGTAATGGACTGCTAATATTCATCTCTTTTGTCCAGAGGGACTGCTAATATACTTTTGTTTGGGGGAGGAGATGTCTATGGTGAAAATAGTCTTTAAAACAAAAGCTTTGCTTCTAGTAAAACTGCTCATGATTTGAAGAGGATTCACAGAGCAATCCAGGAAAGGAAGAAGGCAGCTCCATTTGGTAATATCTAATATTTTATTTCTGGTGCTGCCTCAGATTTGGAGTGACTTGGGAAAAGCCACTTAAGTCTCTTGGTGTGTCAGTTATGGCAGGTGCCGTAAGCCACCATCTAAGTATCAGATCGTATGGAGGCCGGGAGAGACAGTGCAGAACAGAAGCTGCCCCTGGGAGCTGTGCTGCTGACTTTGCCCTTACCCATTGAGCAAGATGCTGAAAGTGAAGGCCTGATAAGAAAGTTTTCTAAAGCAGAGCTACGAAAACATCAGTTGTCTAATGTCTGATTTGAATCAAGTGGACCATCAGGTAGCTTTGTGCAGGGACCATTAGGTTGAGGTGCAGACAGGGTTAAAACCAGGGGTGGGACCGAAGGAAGAGAGACAGAGAGAAAGAGAGAGAGAGAGAGAGAGAGAGAGAGAGAGAGAGAGAGAGAGAGAGAGAGAGATCGATCACACAGCTCTTCTTAATCCCACACCTGCAGCTCATTAGAGATAGTGGGTTAGTCAATCATGTACTGTTATTTTTACTTATGGTTGGGCAGTCCATGCCTGTAGGGAGTTCAAAACCTTCTTCCAAGCATTCTCCGGTTATGCTGTCACATGGGCCTCCCCCGCAGCTGCACACTGCGGGAAACAAAAACAAGATTAGGGACTCATCTCTTCATGTTTAAAATAGGGCAGTATTTTCACAGTTTCTAGAAATTCTGGCTATCAGTGTGAAATCCTTCCTTAAGAACGAAATTCATCCTTAAGACTGTGTGAAATCTACGATGTAGTGATTATGCTCCTTACCCAGTTCAGTTAAGGCAAATGAGATGTTTCTTTATTATTTTATTATAAAAAATTTTTATTAAGATATATTCATTATATGGTGGGGGGGTCATAGTAAATAAGATGTTTAAAGGTGACACTGAGGCAAAATTAAATCTGAATTTTCTAGAATTCCCATCTTTGAATCCCAGCTCTTGGGATTTCTGACATGACTATGCAATACTTTATCCCTAAAAAGATTCTGGTAAGTTTCATAAGGTATGAAATGGCCACAGAGCTCAGCATTCAACTGGAAATTAAAAGCCATGCTTTCATCATGGATGAAGTCTCCAGTTTAATCCAGCTGCAAGGTTGGTCACTGCAGGTATGAGAAGAGTGGGTGAAGAGGCCCAGGGGCAATTCTTGGCTCTCAGGAGCTTGACCCTTGGCAAGATGGACTCTAAATCTCCTAAAGAGAGTTATCAGTGGGATGGTTAGGAATAGTGCCAAAGAAAGAATTAGGAACATATTTATATGAATTTAACAGGCCTGAGGGTCCATCACTCATTTATTGATGATTTTCGATAGTGCCTTTTGAAAAAAAAACAAAAACAAATACTCAGTCTTATGAGATTGTTCATTTTCTATGGAGTTTTCTTTGAGTGAAGGGAAACTTGGGTGCAACCCAGGGCCTCTCCCACTGAGCCCCTCCAGTGTTTTTGTGTGGAAACTAATTTATAATATTTAAAGAAGAATTCTTAAACCATCTCACCAGCAGTGAGCTGCAAAAGAATTGTGAATTTCCCCAACCTCTTAACTGCCTTTACGGAAAAGTCATAAAAATGTAGCTCCAAGGGGAACATCCATTTATTACATTTCAGTTCTGTAATGTAGTAACAGTTCCACAAAATTCAGACTTATTAAACCATTAAGGTAGATCATGCTTTATTGCTTTCCACATGAGTTTCTCTTCTAACTGTGATCTGTGTCTTTGTTGTAGAAACATAAGTTTAGTAGGTGTTTCGAGAATAAGGACATCAACCTTTCAGGACTTGTCAGTGTGATTTCTTTCTTTTTTTTTTTTTTTTGCAGTACTGGGGCTTGAACTCAGGGCCTTCACCTTGAGCCACTCCACCAACTCTATTTTGTGAAGGGTTTTTTGAGATAGGATCTCTCAAACTATTTGCCCAGCTGGCTTCGAACTGTGATCCTCCTGATCTCTGCCTTCTGGGTAGCTAGGATTATATGTGTGAGCCGCCGGTGTCCGGCTCAGTGTGATTTCTGAAGACTCCTCTTTCTCTAGTCTGAGTGGACACAGTGGGCCTTTCTTCCTGCTGTCATTCTTGGTGTTGTGCCTCTAAGTATAGCGCTTTCTTGTAGTCATGTCTATTTTCACTGTAGCTCACGCAGATCACATGTGCACAGGTCTCAAAGTCATTACAAGTCAGAACTACTCAGTCCCAGCCCTTGTGACTCTAGGTGAAAGCCATCTAACTTCACTTTTAAAGAGCTTCCCTCTATGCAGCAAGTGGATGGGGGAAATCATGAATAACGTATACATTTCAGTCTAAATCTTCCTGAAGTCTAGACAGGAAGATTTCTCTTATGACTCTTGGAATACTTACTCTGACAATTTGAGGAAATGTAAAGGGTGGGTGTGATTAAACTGTACTTGGTTTGCTAATCTACTTACTGAAATGTCAGTTTTATAAGACATAACAGAAAGAGGAGACACAGCTTCCAGAATAAGAAAACTGACTTGGACCATGCAAAATTTCATTCAATTCTCTGGTCAGTGATAGGTAATTCATCAAGATCTGGTTTCTTTGATCAAAATTACAATTTCTTAAGATGATAAGAAAAAATTCCCTTGTGTTAGTGTCTTTTGGTTCATTCTACCAATGAGGTAAGCTACATTGGTAGCCTTGGTAAAACTTCCAGCCTTGATGAAGTTGGGATTTCCTGGAAAAGTAACCAGTGCGCACTTGCGTATTTCTCCAAGAAAAATTCCTCATCTAAATTCATTATTGACAGAGGGCATGCTGGCCAGCCCTCTGGCCCAGGATGTGTAGTCCTGTACCTGCGCAGTTCTTGGCTGTCCTGGCGTCGCCGTAGTAGCCAGGAGCACAGCGTTCACACTTGAATCCTGTGGTGTTTCTTAAGCAATTTCTACACTGGCCTGTGACTTCATCACAATCTTCAAATATCAGGTTGGGATCTGAATTGCCACTGCAGTCACATTTCTTACAGGTGCTTCCATTGAGTAAGGGGTTTCCATAGTAACCAGGAGCACATCTGAATGGAGTTAAACATGTTAAATATTTAGCATACATAGTTGTCAATCTATTAAAAAAAAACTTTTTTACTACATAGAAGAAAGATGTAGTGGATATTTGTAGATAGCTCACCCAAAGTCCATTCCTACTCTTCCATATTCCTGGATTCAGAGTCCAGAGTGCTCATCATTATACTATGGAACCATTCCCATATTCCTAATAAGACCAACTTTGTTATTGTTGCTGTCTTTGAATCAGGGTCTTGTTATGTAGCTCAGGCTGGCCTTGAACTCATGATTCTCTTGCCTCAAATTCTCAAGTGCTGGGATTACAGGTGTGTGCCACCATGCTCCGTTGTAGGAGGATCTGAACATTGTAGGAGCATATGAACATTGTTGGTAATTCAAGGGACTGGTGTGCACAGCTTCCATATGATGGGTGGGGCCAGATTTGCTAAATGCCTGCCATGAGATGTATCAGTAGGGCGCTGCTGAGAGGTAGAGATGTTGCCATCTGTTACACTTCTGTCTTGCCATAATGAATTGTTACCAATTCATGCTGAGCATTCCCCCTAGCCAAAAGTGATTGGTTTGGGGGTTTTTGATTGGATCATAGCTCAGACTCTTGTTTCCAGGTCATGGAAAGGCATTATCTCTGCCTTTGGGTAAATGAAGAGGCATCAGGCAGCCTCTTAACTTCTGGCCACCATCTTGGTACTGAACGAAGCTATTCTGGAGACAGAGCAGATGGTGAAGCTGAAAGCACCAAAAATAAAGAGTTGAGCCCAAACTGCCATTCTTCTGGACATTTTAGTATGTGTACCTACAGAAACCAGGCACCTACTTGCCTTTATTGTGGGGACAGAGCCAGTGCCTATGGTCATACTGGGCCTTTAACAAGGGAGCCCAGTTGAGTTAGAGAGTAGAGACTGAAATCTATCCAGCCTTCCTTGGCATGCCACCCTCTGCACTCTGGGTGGGGCTGCCTCTGCCTGGAGGAAGAAATGCCTTTTTCAACTTTTCCCAAAGGTTCCAGCAGAGGACCTGCTACAGAGACAGGACTGCAGGCCACTTCTAAGAGGTAACTGCTTTTGGACTCCAATCAATTGTTACCGGACTTTAGTCTTCAGGAAATGAAGGTCTTGTGCTGCAAGATCTTAACCACTTTTGAAGAAAAATAATGGAAATTTGGATTTTTATGTGAAATTTCAATTTTAAAGATTGGCTCAAACTTTGGAAGAATATCGTACAGGTCAAACTGCACATGTTTGCTGGCTCATTGTGGAATCTCCTTCACTACTAGTGTGGAAGTTGGGTTAAATGGAGCCGGGTTAAATGTCAATAAGGAAAGCTTGGTCACCTATAATGGGATTAAAGGTCAGGCAGAGGAGTACTTCTGATGTGATAAGAGGAAAGGAAGTAAGCCAGTGAAGGTTTCTGAGTGTGATGAAAATGATAGTGAAGGAAGCCAGTGTTGGCCTCAGAGTGCAGGATGAATTCCATGCTGGAACACGGAGACCAGGGTGGGGTGCACAGGGCTTAAGGTGGGGCACTGGCCTTGGGAGTGGAAAGGAAAGGAGGGCTTTCCAAGGAAATCAACAAGTCCCAGCCAGCAATAATAAGACATTACATTTTTAAAATGCTTTCCTTTAAATTAGAGAATGATGATTCAGAATACTTGAAAAATAGAGAAATGGAAAAAAAAAGTCACACCTGCAAAAAGACTGTTTCAACATTTTTCATGGATTCTCCTGGTCTCAGTTTTTCGTAAAGTTGTAATGTGATGCATGTTCAGCCTTTACATTACACCCTTTGGTTGCATTGCATCTCACAGTTTCTGTGTGATATTACTTAGTTACCACTGACACTTAGGAGAAAGGCTACACAGGCCTGGCATTCTGGGGCTGAGGCCTCTTCAATTTTCCAGGGTCACATAGTTAGGAAGTCATAGTGCAAGTCCCAGACCTTCCAACCCTGATGCTCTTTCCTTTGCTCCACACTGGAACACATTGTTTCTGTTATAAATGAAAGAATAAATTCACCCATCAGAGGGATAATTCATGTCCATTTTATGTAAGGCATAGAGGGAGGCAGGAAGAGAAAAAACACATAGCCCATGCTCTGAAAGAACAGGAAATTAATTAAATGCAACATAATGAACTCTAGAAATCAAAGTCTATGAAAAAGATGAGAATGAACGTAAGTTCTATACACCCTACAAAGGAAGGACACCCCAAGAGGAAATGTTCAATAAGTTTTGTTATTCATACTTCCTCATATCTTTGTACCTCAGATTTATACGTCCTTTAGTCCCCAAGACAGCATAAATTATTTGTCTATGGAACATGTGGCTGGATTGAATTTCTATCCTTTGCTGCAGTTCACCAAGCAGACAATATTATACTTGGGTCATCGTAATGGGGCTCAGATCTACCACTTCAATGTGTAGCTGGGAATTTCAAGGGCTGGGGGATAAAAGCATTTGCCCAAGTTCATGGAGGTCACATGGCAGTTTTCTTTCTCCCGTTGATCCTACTGCATGTGTTCTCCATAGGTTGTCCCCTTGTTCTTCCACAGGAGGAAAAAAAAATCAAAACTTTTATTCTGTAAATTGAAATCTCAATCTCAATGGAAACCTTCTCTGAGTTACTCTGAGTTTCAGGAACATCTTTTGGTGGTAGGTTAAGAGGCAGCTCTGAAACTGTTGTCTGTAGGGTTCTATAGACCACAGAGTGAGCACTCAAAAGTTTACTTATTGATTGCCACCCCCAAATCCCTATATTTATAGATAAGAAAACTAGAGCATGACCTCTTCATTGCTGAAGAGCTTAATACTCTTAGAGCACTCCAGGTTCAATGCTCTTTCTACTTCATGAGTCTGGCATTAATGAACTAATAAATTGCTGAATATAATGGTTGAATTATCAGATGCTATTTTGTGTCTAATCCTGCCCTCAAAGAGTTAATGAAAAAGACACAAAATGATTAGTAGTTGACTTTAGAGTCAGTATTGGAGTCCTGCCTGGTCCTATTTTTTGCCTTCCATAGTGTCATTTCTAGATCTATTAATGATCTAATCTATCCAGAGGAAGTAGATCAGATAAATTTACAGTGCAAATGAAAGGACTGTGGCCATATGAACTTTGTCATTTCAGCTTTTGATCATATTACTTGGGCAAAATGGAAAAATGAAAGATATTGTTTAGAATAAAAGATGATTTTATATTAAAATTTTATTTTATATTTCAAGAGCTATTGTTTGGGGGATTTTCTTAGAGTTCTTCTGCTCTCCTTTTATTCTTTTGCTTCTCCCCCCAGGGCCATACAGCTGTCACCCAATGCTTTTCTAGGGTGCCTAAACTCCCAGACTGGATGGCACAGAAACGTCTCTGAGAGTCATACTTTAGCTGTCTTTGAGGTTAAGTAAGAAGATATCAAAAGAAATAAAAAAAAAAACTGATACAAAGCAGATTCCATTTAAATGCTTCTTCATGAAAGATGGGGAAATATGGCTAGAAAAATGCAAGTAATCTATTCAAGGAGTTAGGGAGAGTCCAAAGGCAAGACAGAAGGTAGGAAGGCATAAGAACTCTGTGCAAATAACAGAGCTAATAGTTTATTTGAAAGACTTGGTGCCTTCCGAGTGAATTGTACTAAATTTCTACATCATAGAAGGTCACAATAACTGCTAGTCTCCCTTATTCCTTATTTTCTCTTCTATCACCAAAGCCATATCAAAATCATTGTCACTGTCATCATCATCTCTGATGACATTATGCTATGCCTTTCCTGTTAAGGTTTTAAGGTCACCTTGGGTTTGCTTTTATTTGCTCCATTCTTTCCTCCGTGAAACAAGACCCAGATAACGAATCATCAGACAGTCTCCACTTTTCTCACTCCACCACAAAACTGAATGGGTGAGAGTAGACGATGAAAGCTGCTGTGGGAGGCGAGGTGAAATACTGAAATACTCATATCTCATAAGTTTTTGAACTGAAAGCTGGATTGAACATTGAGGGCCCTTGGGTTTTGGTTTGGATTTACCATTGAAGAACTCCTTCATAAGTCTCCTTATGGCTCTGAGTCTCAGCATCCTCTTATTTATTTGGCAGTACTGGGTTTTGAACTCAGGGTGTTGTGCTTGATAGGCAGAAGTTCTATCCCTTGATCACCCCCCAACCCTTTTTCTAACTTCAGTTATTTTTTGACTAGAGTCTCTTGCTTTTACCTGAGCCAGCCTGCATCCATGATCCACCTACCTATAGCCTCCCAATCTTCACCTCCAGAGTGTTGAGATTACAGGTGTGAACAAACATGCTTGGCCCTTCTTCCTCATCTTTGAACTGCCTCTCTTTGGAGTGACAGTCACACTGGGAGAGAAGAATTGCAAAATTCCTCTATGAGGCATGTGCATTTTATAGTTACCTGCAGGAGTAGACTACCTTCATTTGCATCTTCAATTCAGCCAGAGAGCAGTGACTTAACTTAGTTAATTCTGGATCACCCTTTTTCCATTATCTGGAATGGGGTGGCAGATGGAGGACATAATGAGGTAAGCAATGACTTATTCTTGTCACATTCATTTTTTAAATGAACATTAAAATTATTATTATTATTTTACTTAAAAATGTTACTTAGCCGGGCACCAGTGGCTGATGTCTGTAATTCTAGCTACTTGAGAGGCTGAGACCAGGCGGATCATGATTCAAGGCTTAGGCAATAGTGAAACTCCCATCTCAACCTATAGTTAGGTGTGTCATCCCAAGCTATAAGGAGGCTGAGATTAAAAAGAAAAGTGGTAGTTCACAAGACCCCCATTTCAACAGAAAAAGGCTGGTTATGGTGGTGCACTTCTCTCAACCCAGCAATAGCAGGAAGCATAAATAGGAGGACTGTGGTCCAGGCTGGTCTGGGCAAAAAGAGAGACCCTATCTCCAAAATAACCAGAGCAAAAAGGGCTGGAGGGGTGTGGCTCAAGTAGTAGACTGCCTACCTCGCAAGCACAAAGCCCTGGAGTTCAAACCCCATGCCTTCAAAGAAAAAATAAAAAAAAAGTTACTTAAATATAAATAGATACATAACTGAATGCCTATGGTGTGTTAAGTACTGTGATGAGGGAAAGTGGATGAACAAGAGAACACTTCTATTGAGGAGCTCATAGTTTCATAGTAGAGATAAAAACAACTGTTGTGTGATTTTGAGCAAGTGGTTTAACCTCTCTGTGTTTCTGTTTTTTCCTCTGTAAATAAGGATAAAGGTGGTATACCATAATATTAGTTTGAGACTTAAATGTGACATTATACATTAAGTGCCAGACACACATCCGGCACTCAATAAATGTTAGTTATCTTTTTACCATTACGACCACAGTCTCAGTGCAAGGCAATGTGGTAAGTTCTCCAGGTGGCCTGGTGGTTTGGGCATCATGTCCAACATGTGAACTTAAAGTGTAGGTGGGAAAAGAGCTTTAGAAAAGAGAGAAAGGGATGGGGGCAAGCAGATTAAGAGTCATAGACCTAATTGATAAGACAAAGTGAATGGCTATGTTTTATCTATGTTACATGGCAGAGTAAGAGGTAGAGTAAGCAAGGCATGTTTTATGTTTTATACCTCTAAACTTGCATGTGTATATATATATGTATGTGTACATATATATGAATGTCTTTTAAAGGAAAAAACTTTTCATAGAATATAGCCTCCCATGTTCATTTAAATTATCTTGAAATTTTTCAAACATAAAACTAGGTGGAAACTCCTTATGTCTATGATTTTATGTGCCTTAAAAATTCAAATAAATTTCCAAATAAAATACAGAGTACAAACTAATCAAAACCAAATGAAGAACATTAATTCAAGACAATGGATGACATTGTCTTGTTACAATTGAATGGCCTCTTGAGCGCTGATGTGGCGTAGAGAATTGTCTGAGTCGTGTGTGCTTATCCTATCCTGCCACGTGCTGTGTGGTGACTCATTTTTCAGTTTGCTTTGATGTCATGCCTTTCATCTTCAGATTGCTTTCCAAGTGTCATCCACACACTGTCATTCCTGTTATTTTCTCCCCCTGTGCTGAGGTAGATTTCCCTGTGTTAAAGAGGGATATAACATTGGAATTAAACATAAAATTAAGAAAATATTCCCGAGAACCCATGAAGTTCTGTGACTACTTCTAAGGACGCTGGGGTTTCAAAGGCTGCACTCTGAGAAATATACTGGTGTGGTACTGGAGGTTGGTGTACAGTAACAGTTCACAAAGCAATGAGATGGGCATCTAACAGGTTAGCAATTCTTCCCTATATCTTGAGGCTCTTCAAAGTAGAAGGCTCTTAGAAAGGCATTTGGGAAAAGAAGTGTAAGTTAGGGCAAGAATCTAGACTTTTGATCAAAGTGTTCAAATCCCGTGTCCCCCACTTGTAGTAATGATGGGGCTTCAGACAAGTCCTGTCAACCTCCCTCAGCTCAGTTTCCTTATCAGCAAAATGACAAAATACAACCTCCTCTTAGGATGGTTGTGAGGGTGACAGATGAGGAATGCAAAACCTGGGGGATGTGGGAGATAATTAATAAATGACCCTACTTGGCTCAAAGCCATAATTTCTAGCTAAGGAAATAGGGACTCAGGAAGTATCCCAAGCACACACTGCACCATTGGTCGAAATTGGACAGTAAGCACAATGACTTGTACTGTCATCAGTTAATTTTCATTGAACATTTATTAAGTGTCAGGTACATACTACCGACTTGATAGTATTACCTCTCAAGTGTCCTATGAGGTAGGTACCTTCATTTTGTCCATTCTATAGAGCTGGGAGTTGGCATTGAGAAAGGTCAAATAATGCCCAGGAGGAGCAAAAAGTGGTGGAATAGAGATACAGGCCCGTTTATCTAACACTCTACAGCCACTTCCCAAACCAGTGTACTTTCTAAATCTTATCATTCCAGGATCAGTGCAAGCACCAGATCTAACCTAGCCTTACTGGATAACAGTGGATCCCATGAACTTTTGATGTGGACCAGCGGATTTATCATCTGCAATCCCATCTCTGTGGTGGTGAGGGGTCTCTTTTCACTGACAGAATTCTTATCTGTACCATTGTGCTCTTGTCCTTCAGGCCAAGAGTATTTCACTTTTGGGAGGTCTTGCACTTGGTCAGCAGGTCTCTGTGTAGGGCCATTAACTCCTCTCACAGAAGACATCAAATATTCATTAGCAATGCTGCTCAATCCTTATCAGACTACACTCAGTAGAAACCTAGACACCGAGGAGAAAAAACTCCAATCTTAGCTGTTAAACAATCATCTCAGACCTCCCAGTGAGCCAGCAATTGAGTAAATCAGTTGCCTAGGATTCCTTTGTCCCCAGATAAATACAGAATGATGTCACAATTATTAATTGACCCAATTCAGTGAGCCTTCACTTGTCAGTTTCCCTGCTATAACAACAACCAAAAAGAAAAACCATCTATATTTCACACATTTATTTATTACTATTATTATTTTTTTTTGTTGTAATAGAGACTGGGGTTTGAACTCAGGGCACTGAGCTTGCAAAGCAGGCACTCTAGTAGTTGAGCTACACCTCCAGTTCATTTTGCTGTGGTCATTTTGGAGGTGGGGTTCAGGCCTTGAACCTTGATCCTTCCCATTTTAGCCTCCCAAGTAGCTAGGATTACAGGTGTGAGCCACTGGTGCCCATCCACTTTGTCCATTTTAGTAATCATGGTAACATCGTAGAGATTTTCTCTGTACCACAGATACTGTGGCTATTTTTGAATCTCAAAATTACTCTTTGAGAGATGCAGGGTGCTTTCTTTGCAGGCAGATTAGTTATAAATAAGAGTTTACTTTTAAGTTGCAGGCTGAGTTTTTGAGCCCCAATCAAGGTCTGCCCTGAGACTGCTGTCACTGAGGTGAACAGCCTGCAGATATGTGACCACACTAGATGTTTGACCAGTATCTTGGGGCCCTCCCCTCACTGTCTGTATGGAATGTCACAACTTTCAGTTGCCTAAACATGGTGAGGCCAATGTTAACAGTGTTTCTGTTACAAATATGAAGATTACTCTGTAGGATTCTTTTAGTGAAAGGTGTTTAATCTTAGAAAACTGCGTAGCTAACAGGTGGAGTGAATGGCAGATATCTTACCAGGAAACCACTCAGTGGGAAGCCTTGATCCTTAGTAGCCAAGGTCTTTCGTTTTTGGGCAAAGCTCAAAACAATTTAAAAGACTGTCAAGTGTACATAACAAACAGGATTTCAGAAAATCCAGACCCTCGTGGATTTTGTTTACTTTTGAGGAGATGGTGCAAAGAATGGATTAAATGGGACTGGAGGTATGGATCAAGTAGTAGAATGCCTGCTTTGCAAGTGCAAAGCTCTGAGTTCAAAACCAGTCTATACCTTCTCCCCAAAAGGATGGATTAAGTAATAGGTTAGTGCTTTTTTATATTGCTTTATTGATGACAGAGAATTCATTTATATTTACCCAGGAAGCCTCACTTTTTTTCTGGCCTAACATTGACTGTTGAATTGGTTCCCAATGATGGAGAGAGAAGATTCTAAAACCATCCAGAGATTCTTCCTAACACAAACATGTTTAGTTTCCTTTTTCCCTATTCATTTATCCTGAGTTGTAGCCCTGGCCTGGACCCAAAGGGAACATGTTGTTATAGTTATACTGGGGCATGGGATTTGGGAAAAACTCCCCCAAGAAGTTCTGAAATGTGGTCCTCCGACCCCCTCCTCTTAAGCATCCACCTCAAGACTTACCAAAGAGAAATGTGGCAGAGCTGATGAGTGGAAGAAACAGAAAGCTTTCTTTGACTTACACAGAAAGTGGACAATTTTATTCACTTACCTTTCACAGTTAGGTCCAGCATAGTTTTCTTTACAAATACACCGAACAGCTCCATTTTTCCTATAGCAGGACTCTGCAAAACTAGAATTGTAAGTGAATGTTAGAAGTCAATTCCATATGTTGTTGAAAAGAGTGTCTTAGCTTTTCATTAGGTCATTTCTACCTTGGTCCACCTCAAGTTTTAATGAGTGGGCTTATTGGCTTAATTTCTTTAAATTAAATCCTTATCTTTCAAGAAAATTTGAACCAGCAGTCCTAAAGAGAAAATGTCACTCCATTGATAGGACCATTTCCCAGTATACCTTACATATTTCTCCAAAAAGGTATTTATTATTTTTGCTTGAAGCAGTGGGAATTTCTAACATATCAGAATATATACATATACATATATATAGTATATATGTGACATTTCATATACAAGTCTAAACAGATACTTCAAGCCAGAAATAATAAAAATTTACCTGTAATTTTATATATATATATGAATTTCCTTTGATTCCTACCACTTTCTGAGTATACACTTGAAAGCTTCCCCATGCTTTTCTGCACTAAACCTCATTTTTAAAAGATCAGGAACCAGTCCTAATATACACTCTGTAATCACCTACAGAACCTTAATTTCTTTCATTGTGTACTTTAAAGATTGGGAGTCAGTTTACAGGAAGCTGATGAAAGTGACAAAGTAAGTCCTCAAGCAAGAAACAGAACCCATAATAAAAAGATTTAGCCCTGGAAACTTTTTCCTCTTCCTCGTCTTCCTTCACTCATCCCCCTCTTTTCTCCTCTTTTGGTAATAAAAATAAAGAAGCAAGATAGAAAAGTAATACAAGCAGTGATCTAGCAGAATCAATAAATGTCCCGATTACTAAGGCAGGAGAAATGGAGTATTACCCTCTACATGTTTGGAAAATTTCACACTGACACATGAATTGGGCGGGGTGTATGTGTGTTACTGTGTGAAAAATTTTAAAGACTTTTAAATTAGTTTTGGCTTAAGTACTGTGCAATCAAGGAAGCATGACCTGCTGCTCTCACATTCCTGCAAGTGTCAGCAATTCTACCCTAATGATCTCTGAAGGAAAGCAAATGGATGTGTTTGCTTTGTTTGAAGACATTTACCAAATCAGAAAACTGTGTGCTTCTCAGTGAAAAGCAATACCCACAATTTATTTTCTCTAACAGTCCGGTAAAAACATTCCAATGAAATTACATTTCCTTGGCCTTTTCCCCTTTATTTTGCCTGCTCTTTTTCCTTGGCCGACTTAAAGAAACACTGTCAGTGGAGTTCTAAAACATGAACAAAAGCTCACGCATCTTTCTTTGAAGGTGTTCCACCCAGCAGCCCGCCCAGGACTCAAAGACAAAACATCTGCTGGGGGTGTCTGGAGTCCTTTGCCTTTAGCTCATGTCCTACTGTTTCAAATAGATGACATTTTCTTTAATTGGAGCAATTACCATAACCACTGGTAGACATGAAGGATGTCTGGCCAACCCAAAATAAATAAATGAACTCTAGGCAAATGGTCGCTGGGATCGTGAATGTCACCATTGGTTTTGGTGACTGCAGACTCAGAGGCAGTACACCAGTCATCCAGGTTCATCTGGGTTTTCATCAGCATTAACTGTTTGTTTTTCTTAAGGAGACCTCTATTACTGGCTAGGAAAATAAAACATTGTGTCCATTTCAGCCCACTTTAATGACTATGGCAACCCCCTATAGTGAAAGGGCACTTTTTACTCTTAGAAAACCCAGGGAGAATTTCAAGAAAAATACATCTGGTCCTTTTGCTTGTTTAACTTGCTCAAGCATGATTTCCTTGCTTTCTGACATGGCTATTGTTAAACCGGAAACACACATCTTGAGTATGTAGCTCAGTCTATGAATCTTTCAAGTGTAACTCAGCTTCTATACCTTTTTGAAAAGCCTTTCTGAAAAGTCCTGCCACTTATTTTTATAGAAAGTACCAACAGGAATATTTTTAAAAAGAGACAATGGGGTATTTGGCTTTTGGTAAGATATCTGATTAATATTTGAGATTAGTTAACTAAGTCAGTAATAAATACAGATCAAGGGTTAGAACTTTATAGGATTCAAACAGATTTATTCAGTTCTGTGATCACCAATGACCTCCCTCTCCATCCTTTTGAAGGCAGCCCCCCTTCTCCCCATAGTACAGCTATGGCCACTATAGAGAAATATCTGCAAATCTCAGAGGTCTCTCACACTTTACCAATTCCTCCCAATCCCACGAGATGTTGTTTACCTACAGGTGACATATTTTTGTTTTAACTTTCAGCAGGTTTTACAACATCAAGTCTGTTCTAGAGACTTTGTTTTCCTGTGAATGTGCACCTAACTTGGGAGCACATTCTGGAGGGCCCCAGCTGCTCTTTGAACACTGGTTCCTCGCATGCACTCACAGCATGGGTAGAAATGGTGTTCTTGATGTCTTTGGAAACTGGTTCCTCTCTCAGGGCAGGGCACTCATTGCCCTACTGGCAAGTTGCTGTTTCATTTATGGGAAAGAGATAATGACTAGGGGAAGTGCTTCTTGCTCAACTAAAACACTGGATAATCTAGATCATTTGCAATAGAAACTTCAGAAATTGCTATATTTTGGCCTATCTTAATGCTATGTCACCAGTAACTAGAACATGCTCAAGAAGATGATCAAAGTACATTAGCTACATGTATTAAAATATCATAATGGAGCCCATTATTCTGTATAATTAAAAAACACTAATAAATAAAAACTTTTAGAAAGAAAAGCCAGTTTTTATACCGGTAGTTAATAAGTGCTCAGGAGTATATTGCATGACTGCATGTAGACAAAACATCTCAGTCCATAGGGAATGATGTTTTAAAAAGCTCATAACTCAAGACATTAATGTCAAATAATGTAGATTAGAAAGTCTTGTCATATGAATAGGGCAAAAAGTGAGTGCAGAAATGAGATAATATAATTAGAAGGAACCATCTGAGATTGCCTTCTTAATTCATGTGACTATCTAAAGACACACTGCAGAGCCAGGTACTGGTGGCTTATGCCTGTAATCCTAGCTACTTAGGAGACTGAGATTGGGAGGATGGCAGTTTGAGGGAAAGCCCAGGCAAATAGTTTGTGAGACCCCAGCTCCAAAATAACCAGAGCAAAAGGGACTGAAGGTGTGGCTCAAGTGGTAGAATGCCTGCTTTGCTTTGCAAGTGCAAAGCCCTGAGTTAAAACCCCAGCCCCCAGCCCCCCCACACACAAAAAGAAAGAAACGCTGCAGCTAAAAGCTTATAAAATCTTTTTTGAGCAGGTGATGCTATGTGGCATCTTTATATGGGTGAATGAGTGAAACTGGTTACTAGGAAGCCAGAGGCAAATATATTTAACAAAATAAGTTAAATATATTTAACTGGTTACTAGGAAGCCAGAGGCAAATATATTTAACAAAATAAGTTAAATATATTTAACTTATTTTCATATCACATCAGATATGGTGAGGACTAGTGTTTGGAAGCAGAATATTAATGAACAATTAAAGATTATATATAGATGAGGCAAAGGGAGCTCATAAATCAGGACATTCTTGAATGAACATAGCAGAATGCTTAATGTTTGTGTTTTTCACTTCCACTCTCAACACCATCCATCTTGCACATATTATTAATGCTACCAGACAAGAAAAATCACAAAGCAAGATCTGAGGCAGTTTAATGGTTTCTAAAGAAAGATGAGACTGTAAAAGGTCTGAACTTACTGACTGTCAGGCACATCATGGGATTCGAACACATGACAAGGTACTGCGTGAAATATCAATATTGGTATTTGATTAAGAAAAGCAATTAGGGGGACGTGTGACTGCAATCTTCTTTCTTTTTTCTTTATCAGTAAGAGTGTGTGGGGGTTGTGTGTGTATGGCAAGTTCTTGGGCCTTTTTAGTCTCTTTATATGTATTATGTAATTAATCTTTAAAACAGCTATCATATGTAAAATACATAAATATTGCAAAAACTTAGAACAGTGCCTGACATAGAGTAAATAAAAGTATTAGAAAAAATACTATGCTGTATGTTCAACAAGCCAACATCTACCTTACACATTTCCATGTGCAAGGTACCCACCCAGATACTCCATGCATATTATCCTAGCCCACTCTCACAACCCTATGCTGCTGATCCTTACACCTTAGCTCGATTAACTTACTAAGGAAAAAGCTGAGATCCACAGCGGTAAAGGAGTTAAAGAATAGAACCCAAATCTGAACCTAGTCTCCGCGACCCCAAATCTTGCAGAAAGTGAGGCATAGAGATTAAATAACACAACTGAGATCACACAAGTATTATGTGTCAAAACATAACATGAACCTTGGTTGGCTAGTCTTTCTACTTGTTATAATTGAAAAACATATATGTAGTCTTTGTCTCTCATTCCTAGGGTAGGGCCTCTATAACCCTTGAAGTTCCTGAGTGAAAAGATTGCCTTTTCACAGCAAGCCTCTTTTAACCAAACCTGAGTTTTTACTAATGAGGAGATTCATTGAATCCCACCTTGGCTTGAAAATGGGAGCAGGTCCACAGAGGAAATACCCATAGGGCTGGAACTTTCGACCCTTTCCCCTATCCTCCAGGGAAGGGAGAGAGGTTGGAGATTGAGCTCAAACACCAATGGCCAATGATATAATCATTGTGCCTATGAAAGGCTTAGATAAGAACTCTTGAACAACCATGCTTGGGGCCCTTCTGGTTTCTTCACACATGGATGTGGTGAGAAGATGGTATTTTTGCTCTTGGAGAGGGTGTGTCTGTCTGTTCCGCCCACCTCTGGTTTCCCTTATACATTTCCTTACAGATTATTTACATTTCTTTATAGGTTACTTCCTTTGGCTGTTCCTGCATTGTATGCTTTATACTAAATTGATAACCTTAAGTATTGCACTATTCTGAGTTCTGAGTCATCATAGTGAATAATTAAACCCGAAGGAGGGATTGAGGGAACCCCCAAATTTGTAATCTGCTGGCCAGAAGTGTGGGGAACATGGGGATCCCATTCTTGGTTGGAATCTGAAACGGGAACCATCCTGTGGAACTGAACCCTTAACCTCTGGGGTCTGTATTAACTCCAGGTGCTCTCCATCAGAACTGAATTGATTGTAAGAAACCAAGTTGACACCAGACAATTGGAGAATTAGTTGTCATTTTAATTCTACATAGTATCTTCTTTTTTTTTTTTTTTTCAGTAATGGCGATGGAATCCAGCACCTGGCACATGTGGATGCTAGGCAAGTGCTCTTCCACTGAGCTCCATCTCCAGCCCTTACATACTCTCTCTCTTTTTTCTTTTTTTCTGGTGAGAACTCAGGGTTTCACGCTTGCATAGCAGGCACTCTACCACTTGAGCCACACCTCCAGTCCATATTCTCATTTTTAAGTCAATAAAATGGGTAGTTATGACTTGATTACTGGATTTACACATACTAGGTGCTATAAAAGAATTCCATTATTTCTATTAAAATGTCTATCTTTTTTTGTGTGATACTGAGGTTTGAACTCAGGGCTTCATGCTTGCTAGGCAGGTGCTTTACTACTTGAGCCACTCTACCAGCCATCTCTTTAACTTCTCACTCACATCAAAACATAGACAGAAGTGAGAATTAGTTTTGCTGGAAATTTTTTATGTACCCCACTGACTTAAACATGCATTCTGTTAATCTGTGTTCTAATTATGATGGAAAAGCATACTTGGCCGCTACCTGTAGGGAAATGTCTACTTTGAGAGTCAAGTATTACAGAAAATAGTATATTATAATGAGTCTGTAGTAATTACCAATTGTGATCACTATTAGTCAAGGGATAGCTGAGAAAGATGAGACTAGCTGTGCTTCTGAAACTTGGAAGAGTTCACTGACTTTATGATGTACTCCAATATTTTGGGAACAGAGTCATTACCTATTGTAAGTGCTTAAGCACTAGATACCTATAGCTTTTCCAATCTCATTTTCAACATTCAGTTCTGACTGTGGGAAAACATCAGAACTCTGGATGGGGCAAACAAATTATGAGCACAAGCATTAGAAGAGATCATATTCCTTTAGGACTTACATGGCCAGGTGGGGCAAGGGACAGGGACATGGCTGGCAGAATCGGGGTGCTCCCCTGATGGAATCTCCAATGTAACCATCTAGACATTTTTCACAGTTCTCCCCTGTGGTGTTCCGCTGGCAGTGCTGTGAGACAAAATATAGAAAAACTGATGGATGCAGAAGACATTTTATAGACAGTAAATGTAGCAACCAAGCAATATTGAAACAGAGGGAGTGTGTGCGGCAACACAAAGGAGTCACGTCCTGTGACTTGCCCCTGTCAATGCTTGAAAGTGATTAATTCATCGTGGACCTCCATGTGTGAACTGGCAGCTTGGAGACTCTCTAGAGTTTGTGTACAGAAAGGGTTATTCATCAGTTATCTATTTAGTTCTGCAAGGTAATCAGGAAGATCACACTCTGCATGTTCTGGAAGCATCAGCTTACTGACTTATAATGAATACAAAATGAAAAAAATGAATAATACCCCCCTTGTGCTTACCCATGACAATGAGAACGATATGGATTTACAGGCATGGAAGAACAAACTATGTCAGACTGTGGCATGAATGGAATAGAGGTAGATAAAGAGCACTCTGCTAATGGCTTGGTTTTCTAAATAACTCAGGAGAAAATAATAAGCAGGTTGATTTTGAGTGACATTTTCATTTGTAGCAAGAATAGTGAATAGCAAAAAAAAAAAAAAAAAACCAAAAAGGCTGACAATCCTGCCCAGAATGCTTCTTCCTCATTCAACATCTGCACCATGTTTCAAAATCTCCAGAAACTCCTCCTTGATTCTCCCTTCCGTAGGCCCACTGGAGACCACTACCCACATTGCATTATTATCCGTTCCCAATTTCAGCACCCCTCCCCAATACACTGTATCTTTCAGCACTGTATTGCCATTAATGTGCATGGAGTAGTTCCTCAGAAGCTGTCAGGCTGATGGATTAATTTCTCTAAGAGGCAATGACACCAACACAGAGATAGCTTCTCCTACAGGACTGAACTAGGTGGTACAATAGCACCTCACTATTTTCACATTTATATTCAGTAGAGTGTATAAAGGTTGAATCAGTTTTCGGTTGAAAAATTATACTGCTAGAATTAAAATGCCATTGAAGAAGCACTCTCCTATTTGAGCAATTAATTGCCTTACAACATCTGTGCACAAGGGCTTTAACAGAACAACTTTTTCCCAACAGTGCTCTGTGGTGGGGGAAAGTTCAGCATAGTAGGCTGAACTCTGGTTTTAAATTTTTGTCTTTATGCTATTTGAATTTCAGAATAAAATAATAATAACCTGCAATAAACATTTTACATGAATTAACTAATTTAATTCTCATAAGGTTTCTGCCATTTTACATATAAATTAGTAGAGGCACAGAGAGTTAAGCCTTTTTCTGCCATTTCTTTCATTGTATTGTTGAGGACCCAAAGCAGGGTCTTGTGCTTGCTAGACAAGCATTCTGCCACTGAGCTCCATCTCCAATCCCAGAAGTTAAACAAACTGCCCAACGTTACACAGATAAGCAGCAAAAGTGAGATTCAGATTCAGGCATTATGGCTCCAGAGGCAAGCATGTTAAGTTTCATAGTATACTGCTTCTTCACTATTAGAAAAAAGACGCCTTTTAAAATCAGTCATAGAAGGACTGCATTTGAAGGTATCAGACTATTTTGTCAATAGTTTGAGCTTCAAATAAAGTACAACATTGTAGTCAAAAGGGAGAAATCCTATGTGGTCAGCAAATTGTCCTGATTGGACACTCTTCAGGCATTTGATTGGCTGTTAAGTATGAACTCTGATTTTAATTAGGCAGCCAAATAGAACTTGGGGGCTAGTTCAGATTGCCTAGATCAATGAGAACTCAGAAAAATAGTGTCTGGGATATGTAGGCACTATTTCCCTAACAGTTCTTAAAAATGTGTCTTGTGCTGAGTTAGCCTTCAGGAAATATTTGTTGGGGAAATAAGTGAAGAACAAAGGGAAAGGGTGAATTAGTAAACTTGTGTCTTGAGCAAGTGATGGAAATTAATATGCACCCAAAACAAGCTCAAAATTGGTGGCAATCTTTCATCCAGGGAAAACCAATAGTAGTACCCAACTATCATGAACCCAAGCCATAAGCAAGCTGGCAGGACTGCTTGTAGATTGGGGTCAAATTTGTCTGAGTCCTTGTTACACAGATGAAGCCTACCTATGCAAGCTGTAGATGTTAGGCCATTCCTTGTGAATGAAGTGACTATTTAAGCTGCAAAAATGAGCTAATTTCCAATTCTGTCTCCTAATGATTTGATGTATGATTTGGATTCCTTGTCAGGGCTTTAATTCTGCCATAGTAGCCGGAGAGAATTACCCAAGGGCAAAGCTGTCAGATCTCTGTCTACTTCTAAAAAATCAGAGTACAAACATTGACTTTCCTCGTCTGCCTTCCTTTAAATGATTCGTTATGAAATTTTCTGGAAGGCCCTGATGTACTTTCTGGAGAGTGGCAGAGACTGCTGGAATCAGGGAGAAAAGGTCCTTAAGCAATTTCATTTTCCAGCTGGCCAACTTTGAACAAGTCACTTGACCTTCCTGGCTCTCTATTCCCTTATCTGTAAAATGAAGGTTTAGAAAAGATGTCCCATCTGGTTTCTTACTCTGAAAATCTTTTACCCTGAGATTGCACAATGCCCCTTTACCTTCAATGCTTTGCCATTTAAAAAACAGAAAACAAAAATGACAACAGTCAGGCACCAGTGGCTCATGCCTGTAATCCCAGCTACTCAGGAGGCAGAGATCAGTAGGCTCGTGGCTCAAAGCCAGCCCAGGCAAATAGTTCATGAGACTCTATCTCAAAAAAACACAACACAAAAAAGTGCGGGTGGAGTGGCTCGAGGTGTTGGCCCTGAGTTGAAGTACTGCAAAAAAAAAAAAAAAAAAAAAAAGCAGGCTTTTGAGGAGGAGTTTACTTTTTAATAGAACTCACCCCACTTAAAGATGTAGTGAGCATTCTGAATTGTTAACCAGTGGTTAAGAAAGCTATACACAGATAGTGTGTAGCTTGTCAGCATGCGTGAGGCAAGACTAGATCCATGGTCTCAACTGTGCACAGAGAATTCCAAATTACTTCCCAAACAATACTAATATTTTTTGTATCTTTTGCACTCTCATTTTCTCACGTGCAAAAAATGCACTTTTCTAGAAGCAACATGACACAATACATCACCACTGACGGATGCAGAAGCAAGTAGGAGAATACAACTGCCCTTTCTTCAGCCACACATTAAACATATTTTCAATTTGTAAGATGTTTATGTTTTATAAAAGCATATTTTATGTTATTTTTGCAATGAGCTTATTATTATTGCTTTTCTGAAATGAATTTATAAGTATTATAATTTTTTCCATTGAAATTCCTAATGCAGGACGATGATGTAATCCACATAAGCAAATCACTTTGGTACCTTAAATAATTCTTAAGAGCATAAAGGGCTCATGAGAGCAGAAAGTCTGAGAGCTGATCAGTCCTTAAGGTTCAGGGTGCACATGAATCTCTTAAGGCTCTGGTGAAAATACAGATTCTGAATCAGGACATCTGGGTGGAACCTCAGAGTCTGCATTGCTAGCGAGTGCTCTTATATCGCCAATCTGCTGGTTTTAGCTACACTAGGAGAAGTCATGGTCTGCTTGCTACTTAGTAGGGGTAGCACTGCTTGCTACTTACCCTGAGTTGAGACTCTAGCATAAGGCAGGACAGGACACCTTACTGCAATGAAGGAGTGATTCAGGTATCTCATAAATTATAAAATTAAAGGTTTTTGCAGTTAGGTTACCTTGTCATTTTAGTAACTAGAGTATTCATTCATTTAACAAATCTGGATTAAGCTGATGTCATGAAAGTCAATGAGCTGTAACTATTACTAACATGAAGAAGACCTGGCTTGTGCCTTTGAGGAGCTCACAGACTTGTGAAAGGACCACCCGAGCAAACAGAGAATAATAATGGGGTTATGACTAAGGCATATGTAAAGCACCTAACTGCCACTGGGCAAAGGTTTCCTGGAGTTGTGACACCTTAAACTAAACCTTTCTAAAGGGATACCTTTAGAAAAGGTATCCCTTGGTTAAGCTGTGTTTTTGAAAGACATCTCCTTTGTTGTCAGAAGACAGATTAGAAGACTGTGTGGCTGGGAAGCTGGGCCACTGTCAGGGAGAGGTGCTGTGGTTCTGAGCTTCGACAGGGTGTAGAAGAGAAGAGGCTGTCTCCTAGTTTGAACTAGTGGATTTGGTGTCACAATGAGTATTGGGGAAGAAAAGGAAGTTGATGAAGTGTATGGAGACTCTAAGCACTGGTGACCTGAAGAATGACACAGTCATTAACTGAGGTGGGGGATCTAAAAGGAGGAACAAGTTTAACAGCCATATTCTTATGTTGATGGATACAAAGGAACAAGAGACTGCACAGAGCGATCTGTCTTTAGCATTCTTTAGACATGAATTTTTCTGACTTTGTTATAGAACTTCAGCTATCATGAGACCAAACTGATCACTATTTGCAAAATTTCAGATTTTCCCATTTATAATAGATTGAAAATTGTCAACTTTAATGTAAGGATTATGCAATTGATTGAGATACCAATTTATTTTTATTTATTTATTTTTTTATGGAGATACCAATTTATAATTACAAGTAAAATAAAAAAATAAAACTATGCTCAATTTTTTTCTTGGTCTGGGCCACCTATGAGTGTGCTGGTTAATTGATCACATAGTCCTAGCTTTACAGGGAAATACACAGTTGATTTCTGCTCTTTACATGTAAAAGAATAAAAACTCAGGAGAAAATGATAGTGTCTGTAGAGATCAGAGCTAGAATAACTTTACTTTCTGAACAGAGTTTTAATTAGCCTTGGAGACTAACAAAATCCATTAGCCTCCAATGTGTTGGATCACTTCCCTTATCCATTATGTTTAGGGTGGGCAAAAATCTATTTGAAAATCAATGTCTTTTTTTTGGTGGTACTAGGGATTGTAATCGCTAGTGGAGTATAACTCCCCATTTGAGCCACAGCCAACGCCTTTTGGTTTGTTTTTCAGATAGGGTCTCTTGCTTTTGCCTGGGTCAGCCTTGGACCTTGACCCTCCTACCTCTGCCTCCTGAGTAGTTGGGATTGCAGGTATGTACCGCCATGCCCAGTTTTCAATATTTTTAATTATAAAATTTTAATTTTAATTATAAAGTTACTATAAGCAATTATAGAAAATTTAGACAGATACACAGTACTCAAAGGTGAAAAGAAGACAGTAAAACTGCCAGCCAGATGTAAATACATACAAGTTTGATGTACTTTTGCTAGAGTGCAGTTACATTTTTGTAGCTCTTTTGATGGTGTCAAATTTGAATATTTGAGTCACATCTAGGAAATTTTTTTCCCAGTGTACTCATGCAGATCCTGAGGATCTCTTTTTCACTTGATTGGCACTGGGGAATTGGGAGTTCCTGCACGTGTTCTAGGGCCCCAGCGGTCCCTGTTCCTTGAGCCCTATGACACCGAAATGTTCACGGGCACTTTAAGCAGGTGTTGTGTCCTTACTGCTCTTTAGTTCACATAGTGAAAGTCACTTAACCCAGAGAGTTAGAATCAGGTCTGGCCCCCAGCTTTCTCCACATCACTAAGCTCCCGATCTTTGGATGCTAACTGACCTTAGGCAGGCCTCGTCTTGATTCTTTTACCTGGTCTGTAGAGCTGGGGTAAAATATGGATTTTTGAGGCCAGGTATTACTGCCATAGCCCCCGTCTGCTCCCACTTGTTTCTTCCTCTCAATTCCTGTCTTGTACCACCTTCTGGAATCCTTCTAGAGAGCCAATCATATCTACTGGAGTTGCCTGGCCTTTGGAACTCCACCCAGCTGACTAGCTGAGGACCCTGTGCAAGGCCCCCAGTTCTGATAAGATCAAAGTGGCCCCATGGACATGCAATTCGTATTAGATTTCTAAGCCATTTTCCACTGAGCTACATTTCTGTATTTATAAGATGGGTGTTCCACAAGTGCAGACATCTCTTTGTCTGATATCCAAAATAGTAGTATAATTTTGTCTACTCTATATTTTGTTGCTAAACGACTTGGTTCATTAATTAGTGAGGGTAAGTCTATAAAAATTTAGGTTAAGTTGATATTTGAATTGATCAGAAGTTAGAAGAAGTGGGAGTAGACAAAGCAGACACAAGGGCCCTATAAGCCTTCAAAATAAAAGCAAAATAAGACAGACTGAAATAAAAGAAGGCCTTTCCATTTTGGTTGCTTATGGGTGCTGGTAGAGGTGAGTTAAATCAGGCAACCTGTAAGAAGTGAATGAAACTCTCATGACCACAGTCAGCTGCTAGGAGATGCTCCAGTTGGATCTCTTGCTTCTCTGACATCTTGAGAGCTGAGAGTGAGTTGGGGCCACCAGTCCCAAGCTCATCAAAGGAAACAGAAAAAAACTGAGTTTGATACCAGTGTGAATCCATAGACTTAATATATTTGCCAGCTAAGTGGCAAAATAAACTTGTGTTTTTGCAAGCCTTTTCTTCTCCTTTATTTGCATTGAATTAAATGCAAATTATGTTTTTTTCTTTCGAAATCAGATTATTAAACTTTTTTTTTTTTTTTTGGCAAAGCTGTTGTTTGAACTCAGGGCCTCATGCTTGCTAGACAAGTGCTCTACTACTTGAGCCACTCTGCCAGCACTCAAAATCAGATTATAAGAATAAGAATATGTGTATATTTGAAAGATAGGGTTGTGGGTAATTTTTACTTTGAATTTCAAATTCAGTATCTCTCTGTTTTTTCACTGAGCCATATATTACTTTAATCAGAAAAAAAAAAAGATATTTCTCTGTTGATAAGGTAGGGATGTAGAACCACCATTAAGATGAGCAGAATGTTTAAATTTTCTGTCTTGGCACAAAATAACTGTAAGAAGATCTACAACTTCTCTGTGTGCATGCACAAACATTTACCACCCTAATCAAGCCCCAAACATTTATTAGAACCCTGTATGCCCCAGAAATGGGGAAGGAATGCCATGATACAAACTCTCCCAGAAGCTTATGTCTAGGTCAAAAAGAAAACCATGATGGCTCCTGTAGTATACTGATGACATCATTGTAAAGAGTGGCTTAGGTAATGCTCTTGACAGGCACTAGCAGACTTTTTTCTCTTTTTATTTTTCTAATTGTTTGCAATCAATGGACTTGGTAGGCTCCACTGGCTTACAGTTTAATAAGCCAGATAACAATGACCCTCTAATTGGTCAAATTATCAGAGATGTACATTATTAGTTCAAGTGTATGCATGGGATTTCCCCCCAAATGTCACTGGGATTAAAATAACAGGAAACCGGAGATGGAAGCATTAGACAGGGGTAGATTTTGGCAGCTGCATATGCCTACACGGCACGGAGGACATCCTGGATGTAATGGTTAGTTAAGAAGATGGGGGAGGGGAAAGTAAATATTAGGGCTACACAAACACTACAAAGAGATAGCAACATTTAGTGTTTTGCCTCTTAATTCTTTGTCCGTAGAAAAATGTCAACTTCTAGGTGGAAAAGAAATGAAAGAGTTCTAATTTGCATCTTCATGTGAAGTGTAAACAAAATAGCAACTTCATGTACACACCTTGGAGGTCACTTGTAATCAAAATTATCTGTTTAATTAGGACTATTATGCTAATTTTGAGTGTATTTAAGTAAGTATTCCTGTAGCTTAAGTAAAACTACTCTTGCAGTTTGGAAAAAGCTCATTTGCCTTGTAGAAATTTGAGGAATTGAATTTTCTTGCTACCTCAGATTGCTGATGAAGAAAAACATGGTATTAGGGCTAAATGACTTGAAAATGGCTCTTCCCCCACCCCTTACTCCTCCCACCCCCCTCCATCCCCAATGATTTTTACTGAAGCCACTTCCGGTCAGCATTGCAACGCCCATTTTCACTAAGTCATCAGTCCATTCTTTGAAAATGAGAAAATAGGTACCAAGGACTTTTCTGCTAGAAGTCTTCTGTCTGTCTGTGTCTATCAATATCATGCTTTACTTGAGAACAGCCTATTGGGGAAATTCATTTCAATAAGGGAGAAGAAAAGTCTCTCTGGGGCTTGAACACAGAATTTAAAAGTCCACAAGGCTGAAGTTTTCATCTTCAGGCTATTTGGTTCAAATTTAAAAAAAAAATGTAAGCTTGTTTTGATCTTTAGGCCTGATTATCTTACACTCTACAATAGGCTATGCGACAACTGTTTTATTCCTCGGGTTCATGTGTGATGAAGGCAAACATATGGCAAACTATACTATTACAGAGGAATCTGGATGGATGGTTTCTTCCTCTGTGTATTATTTTCAACCCAGCACCGTTGGCCTACAGCAGGAAACCAGCTGCTAAGTGTGGGAGGTAGGACCCTTCCATGCAAAAGCCTTGGTGGCCACTTAAAATTGGAAAGCCTTTACACTATGTGTTTTACAGGAAAAATGGAAGTTTGCTCCTGTGTGTCCTTGACTTACCACACAGAACCCAGAGCCGTCCAAGCATTCATTGGAATTGCCATTACAGTCACAGGGCAAACATTCTCCTGACAGAGCACGGAAGAATCCAGCATCACATCTCTGCAACAGACACATCAGAAATCATTATAGTTACTGAAAAGGTCCACTTTGGCCATTATTTCCTAAGAGAAGTAATAGAAAGTGATTATTAAACTAAATATTTCTTTATAAAACATAACAAAATGGTCTATTTATACTACCATTAGTGATAGTTGGTGTATACAAAAAGCTTTTTTGTTGCATAATTTCTTTCTCTCTTCTTTCACTTTGCAGAAGAGAAACACTCTTGACAATGGTCCATTATTGTAAGGAAGATCGAGAAGATATTAGGTAACAGTAAGAAAGAGAAATTTTCTAATGGTTTTTTCAAATCCAAAACAAAACAAAGTAAAGCAATGCAAAATCAAACCAAACCATGACTGGATTGGTCAAGCTGAAGAATTGCATTATGCTCCCTGTAAATAAAGACTTCTGTTTTCAGAAATTATTAGCTATGGCATAATAACTTAGAGTTATGTCTTCATAAAGCAGGCTAAAAAAGCCTCTATTTCTTCAGACTCTAACATGTTAAAGGGAAGGGTAAGGAAGTTAATGAGCTATAATACTTGTCAAGCCCGATGTGGTGTTGATCATATATTTCGTTTATTTTCATTATCTGTGAGAACGCATTATTCTCCTTGAGTCCAGTGATGAGACAATGAGACCCAGAGAAGCCATGTGGCTTGTGGAAATGTTAAACCATCCAACAATATACCAGCTGATTTGCAAAATAACGAATAATCCTCCCCATGTCTCCAGTGTCTCCAATGGAGAAACGTCCTGGTGGTGAGAGATTGTACCGTTTATGCAATTGCGTTTATGGGGATATAGCAGATGTTTCTTTGGGAGGTCTCTGTGATGCAGCGGAGAAATGGCATGACAGCCTGGAAGTCCAATCCCTGCCCTCCAGACAGGCTTGTATCTAAAGAATTCCAGACAGATAAGAATCTGATTGTTTCCACAGACTTACACTGCAAGAGGGTTTCCCATCAACCCCTCCCCCCAATCACCCATTGTAGTTTGTAGTGTCCTGGTTACCAGGAAAGTTTTCATTATATCTCGCTGAAGTTCCTGGACTGATATGCAAACCCATTTCCTCTTGCTTTTTTCTCTGTAACGAAAGAATGAGTAGCTGGGGCACTGGTGGCTCATGCCTGTAATATAGCTACTTGGGAGGCTGAGATCAGGAGGATGGCAGTTCGAGGCCAGCTTGGGCACGTATAACCGGAGCAAAATGGACTGGAGGAATGGCTCAAGTGGTAGAGTGCCTGCTTTATAAGGGCAAAGCCCTGAGTTCAAACCCTGATCCTACCAAAAAAAAAAGAAAAAGATAGTGGTTTATTTTATTAGGACATACGAATGGTCCTTAACTAATATGAGATATGTGCAATTAATATATGCAAATATAATTGTTTTAACTATCCTACCAACTTGGGCTAATAAAATAAAGTAAAATTTAGATAGTTTTTCAAAAACAAAAAAGAATGAGTAGACATTAGTCACAGTATACAAATACCAACAGTTTGGACCCTAAAACTAAAATTTAATATATTCTTTAACAGAGAATAATGGTATTTTTCCATGAAGAAAGGCAAAGACATTTCAATTCTGTAAGTGGAGAAAGTAAGGCTGAGAGGAACCAATTTAAAATTTATAATGGAGGGTTTATGGTTGATGGCAAGCCTCTTTTTCAGTTTCTCCAAACTGGAAGAGGGAGGAAGGAAAGACTGGGGAACCAAAGAGAGAGAGACACTAAAATTGCAGCAAGAAGCATCTAACACAGAGTATCTAATTTCACATAATTTTAGGCTCATGTCATGAATTCAAATATGTATTTTTAATGTTACACAGTACACAGATTGGTGTCTATAACTAGATATAATATCTGTATCTAGACTGATGCTGATATAGATTTGGATATAGATCTCTCTCTCTCTATATATATACATACACACAGACACATATGTATCTCAGAAAAGAGACTCACAGACACCATATGTACTATGCCTTAAACTTTTCTATTTTATTTAATGGTCATTACCCATAAAATCAATTTGATGATCCATGAATGTGTTGCATTTTATAATTTTGGGGGTTTTTGTTAAAGAGAAGTGGTTAAGAGTAGTAAGGGGTCTTCATATTAATTATCTCAGTAGCCCCAAAGCAGTGCTTTCTCATGTCTCACTGTCCATATTACAGACATTCAGTGAGCCCCTGATGACAAAACCAAGGGATTTGTATTTTATTAATAAATAATTGTTGTATTTTAAAATAACTTTAGATTGACAAAAAATTTTTACCTTTTTAGAAAGTTCTGCCAAAGAGTCTGATATTTGAGATATTTGATTAGATTGGAAAAATCCCTCACGGTGTTTTGGGTATATTACTTGTTCATCACAGGCGATGATTGGAATGGCTTGGACCAGGAGAGCACAAAAGGCAGAGGCACTTTTGGAAACCAGTGGCACACTCTGCTAACCCTCCATTGCTCTCTTCTCCGGCTGGATTGGTTTCAAGTCTTTCTCAACAGCCCAACAGACACCGCCTAGATTGATTATGCAAGAAGAAATCTTTATGTTGTGCCAAGTTGAGGAGGAGAGTTCACTCTGACAGTCTGTCATTATCCACTTGTCTACTCCCTAGGCTGAGGCTATGACCTTGAGTGAAGGGAGACTCAGCTAACACTGCGAGATGGAAAGAAAAGGGAGGCAGGGACTGCGCTATGCTGAGCAGTCATTCGGCCCCTGACAAGAGAAGGGGTAGTGGATAGAAACCTAGCAAATTCTTTTCTAGATTATATCTTTCAATTCCTCTATTCAAATCCCAGGCACCATTTTAGAAACACTTAAATGCAACAAATAGGCAAATAAATCTTAGGTCTGGGGACAATTCTATGTCACTGCTGGAGCCCATGTCCTCATCACCTTGCACCATGTGTTAGGGAACTTCTGAGATTCCTTGGAATGGAATTGTGAAGTGATGGCAGAGAAGTTTAATTATCTTGTAGGACAATCGATTGCAGGTTGTTTATTTACATGGATATAATTCATCGTGGTTTCTGAGAGGCCTGTGATTTTTTTTTTAGTGAAACTTTTCTTGAAATTCTATAGGAACTGGCAAAATTGATTTTTTATAATATTAAAAGGCAGTTTTTTCAAATATGGAAGAGCCATAATTTTCAATTTTCCCCCTGGTTAATAATCATTATACATCATAATTTTAACATTTGTGCTATTTAGAGGCCTGTGGAAATTGCATAGTCTTCCCATAAATTAAATAAGTGTCTGTTTATTTTCTTTTAGAAGATTCTCCAGAATTTACAGAGCAAGAGAAGATGCCTTACAATCAGTTTGTAGATGTCACATTGAGCATTTTCTCATCATGAGAAAATTTTCTTGCAGAAGACAAGTGTAGCATACACTTGGGTGGGAAAGCTTAGAGAATTCTCAGAGAATTGTACCACCTTGGATGGGTCTGTGGTCTTTAAAAACAATAACAATAATAACAAGGATGACAATAAATATGAGGATACTTGTAATATAGCTATGATCAATGCCATTCAAGAGATTCATACCAATCCAAACCTTATTCTTTCTCTGCTATAACATGCTGCCCTTCATAAATAAATAAATGAACTGGGTCTGGTGGCTCATACCTATAATCCCAGCTACTCAGAAGGCAGAGGTCAGGAGGAGCATAATTCAAGGGCAGCCCATACCAAAAAGCAAGTGAGACCCCATCTTGACAATAACAACCACAAAACATCAGGTGGGGTGTGGGGTGTGTACCTGTTATCAGCTATTTGGGGGGCATAAATAGGGAGGTCATTGTCAGGCCTGCCCAGGCAAAAAAGGAGAGACACTATCTCAAAAACAACTGGAGGAAAAGGGGCTAGGGGTTGGTTCAAGTGGTGAAGCACCTAAACCCTAGCACTGCCAATAAAATAAAATAAATAAATAGTTCAATTGAACATTTAATTATTTGAACATGACTGCCATGGTTAAGTCATGCTGCTCAATTCTTTCATTTTAGTCCACAGTAGATCTATGAAGTAGGCTCCTGGATCTTCATTTTATACACAGGAATTTTGTGGTTTATCAGGATTACTTATCTAGACCTAGAAACACAGATAAGAAGTGTTGGATGCAGGACTCATACCCTCTGGCTTTCTTTTCCTCAACTTTGAGCTATTAATGTGTCAAGAACACATTCAACCAAGTCTTTCTTGTTGGATATTTAGGTTATTTCTAAAATTTTTCTGTTACAAACATCACAAAGAGGACTGACATACATTTAAAAAATGTAAACTATCTCCTTTAAACTTAAGAAAAAATATTTTAAAATAAATACAATGTTTAAAATGTGTAAGTACGTAATACGTAAAAATCGTTGAGTGAGACAATTTCCTTTTCAAGCAATTTCTTTCAGTCAAGTTGTCATTTTGATCAGTTACTCTCCACCAAACCATTTTGGACCTTTTACATAGCTTCATTATTAAGTGGTTCTATTAGTACAGCTGCCTCCTGCTCTACTATTAAGATGGGTTAACGAACATCATTTACTTCTGCCTGTGAAGAACTAGAGTGAAAATTCTCATTTGCTTGCTTTGCTATGATTAGAGTGAGGTCTGGCTTGGAGTTTAAAAAAAGTCAGCTGGCCTGATTTAAATTTATGGAAATTAGAGCAGGATAGAATTTTAGGCAGAGACCAGTGTGGGATATCCACATGTGCTGCTTTGTTTAAAGGAACCCAGAAGGCATTATTTCCAGAAGTCCATTATGCAATCATAATATTAATTACTTAATAAGATATAATTAGTTAAGATTATTTTTAATAAAGGGGTAATATTTATACAAGTGTCTGATCCTTTCTGTCCTCATTTGAAAAAGTTCCTTGAGAACACTAGACTCATGTAAACAGTAATGTATTGTACAGAACAGTTTTTGAATTTTCTTTTTTTTTTTTTTTTGGACAAAATCTTGCTGTGGAGCCCGAGTTGGCCTTGAACTCAAGATCCTCTT